GTGACCTGCCGCTGGGTTATCTCAAGGGAGCCCAAATTCTGTGAAGCTGAGGGCTAAACCCCTGTCCTCAAAGTTCACTTTTGTGCATTATGCCAAGTAGATTGCAGCCATGCTTCTCTTCTAAACTGGTGATACAGCCATTTTGGTCATACTACCTTATACAATCAATCTAAACTGAATGTGGGACTTTGAAATTTCCTAGCAGAGCTCTGCCGTGGACTCAGCTGGTGGGCTTATTTTGGGTATTCTTCTCTCACCTGTTAACTTCTTTTTTCTTGGATGGTGATCACTGATGGGTATTGTACCCATTAGGAAATAATTAATGTTAATTTTCCCATTCTGAATTTTTTGTGGGGACAGTTTCTTCGGTAATTAATATTTCTTTAATTTAACATTTAATTTGAAATTCTGGAAGAAGAGATAGTTGCTATTCAATGTTTGCTGTGACATCATTAAATGTATCAAAACTGATTCCTGAAATCTAGAGAATGGGCAGTTTTTTTAATCCTCTGTGTTTTGGTACTTCTTTGATCACTTTCTTTTAAAACCTCCAACATGAATGCTAGATTGCTACTTTCTTCCAAATTTACTTAAGATCAGTTTATTCCATGTCTTTTTCATTTTTATAATCTTTTCCTGTAAATAGTCATAAGCTTACATTTCTTGAAGATTGTATCTTAAATGTCTGTGAGGATATATTTATCTTCACTTGTCTAAATAGACAGGTTGATTAATATAATTTTGAAACATTGGCAATTACCATTTTAAAATTTGTAAATGTAGTCAGCTCCTCTTTTCTTAAGGCAGATTAATTTATGATTTTAAATGCGGAATGAAAGGACTGTCATGAGGAGGGACAGAAAAGAAATCTCCCTGAGCTGTTAAATATTTTGCCTTTTAAAATCCTGTTTTTCCTTAGCCTAACAATACTCTCATACCTGCATTATCTAGGTATAGAAACACACTGGTTTCTCAAGTTTGCTATTGTTGAGCTTTCTAGTTGCCATTGCTTTACAGTTTTTTGTTTATCAGTTATAGCCAAGTTCATTTCAATATCCTATTTTTAGCATTATTAGCTAAACAGTGCATTAAAAGGAGGAAGTGATTCTAGAGAAAGTAATATGTTGCTTATGTAGATCTTTATTCATGGAAAGAACTTGGATGGCTGGCTTATTAACTAAATAATTTTTAGAGGAAAAAATCTTATACTTTAAACAACATTTAAAGTATTTTGCATATTATAAAAAAATCTTTATCTCACATTGGATTCGTTTTTGGAATTTCAAATATCCCAGACAATTTTGAAATACGTCATAGCCCTGGAAATATTTGAAGATAGTCTGGCAGATACTGCAGGTGCATTTTGTATATCAGTGACACATTTTCTTAGTGCACCAAAGAGATTCTGTTGTATAATATGATATTCTTACAATTCAGCATTCAAATTAAAATTCATCAATGCAGTTTCATGTAGATTTAACCAGCTGATTTCATTTTTATTATAATGAGAACTCAATCATTTATTATTTGTTACACCTTGAATTCAATTGTCAATAGAAATATTTCTCCCTGTTATATAAAAATATTTTTAAATATTAAGGCACATATTATGATATAATCAGTTGTCATACTTCATAAATGATAGCTTTTTTTGCAAAACTAAAACACAATAGTAATTAACCTTGTTGATATTAGACTAGTTGGAAATAATTCAAGTTATTAGAAGGTTTTCTCCTTTGCTTTGAACAGTACTTTGATATTTTATTAGAGTAACCAGGAAGCTAAGTATTATCATGGTTTATTTTTGAATTGATGTTGATTTTTCTAAGAAGTTGAGAATTGGGTTTGCTCTAAAAATAAACATTAAAGATGGAGATCATTGCCTATGAACAGTTTTCAAAAGATCCAGCTATTTCTGTGTTTGTTTAGTTTCCACTTTTAAATTCAAACTCAGAATGTTGAATTTAAACTCTGATTATATGCACTGCATCCTGTTAACAAAAATTAGGTGGTAGCCTGATTATCTGATGCAAAAGTCTTCTGTTGCCATTCAGGAATGCTGTTATAGAGCAGTAGAAGGTTATATAATTTCATCTTGCATTTATAGATGTTTTTGTTCTAACTAGCAGATTTTGTTAAATTAGTCAACTAAGGGCTACTTATAGAATATTATAGAATATTTCGTCATTGTGAGTGGGTACTGAAATTCCACATCAGAAATATTAACCTGTCCATATTTAAAGCCTGTTATCAGTTCTCATTTCATAAATTCACACTGAAACAACCACTTTGTCAAAGTAAAATAATATTCACGTTCTGTCTCTGAAAACAGTTATGGTTTATAACTTAAGAAACACTGCCATACTAGCAGTAGGACTAATTTTTTTGCAACTTTTTAAAAGGATCTTTTCTCTTTGACTGTAGTATACAGAATACCATCCTGCAGAACAGAGAAGTGTATCTGCCTTTGTTGAAATAGATGTAAGATAAAAAAAAATGATAAGGGATTCCATTGTACTGTATTAGCTGCAAAACAACGTTATCCCAGTAAACTATTAAGAGCATCTGCAATCTACTCCAGTGCATACATTGGATATGCGTACTGTGTCACAGTAGTTCAATTTTTGGGGAACTATATGACTGTTTCTTAGTGAGGTACTTTATTTTTGGGCAACCATGGGATAAACTGTTGAATGTTGGTCTTGTGACTTGACTGGTAACTGTGTATAATTGTTTCAGATTAGCTCTGCATTGCCGTCCTGGTTTCATGTCTCTCTTAGGTGCCATTTTGTCACAAGTGCCTTCTACCATCATGTGCTTGAATGGCAAATCCTAATGTTTGCACAGGTACAAAAGAAAAAGGAAAGAAAAGAAAATCTTAGGAGAGGGATTTCCAAGCTAATAAGGACAAATATACTTAATAGGCATGAAATGATGCTGAACTCTGGGTGGAAGGCATAGAAAAATGGGGAATGAGGAAAATGGCAAATGGAGTGTCTGGAAACAAGAACAGTGAGTACTCCAACCTTGTTGCAGGTTCCATTTGTATCTGCTATTTGCATCAGTCTTTTACATAAGCAGTGTTTTATTTCAAATGAGTCCATATGTAGCTCCGTATCTCATTTGATACAATTCCTTTCTCCCCTCCCATCATTTTTACATTTACATAAACTGTCCCTTGCTTGATCACTGTTCCTGATATATTGTATATTTAATATGTTGAAAGATGTTCTTGTGAAGGAGTTCGCTTCATTTGAAGCTTGGCAGAATAATGCTGTTTAAACATGTATTAATTATTTCGGTATGTGTAGAAATGTGATCTAAACGCAGTTAAAATGATTATAGGCCTTAGTGATATTTTGCATTGTATTTTGGCTTGTATCAGTCACGAGTGAGCTTCATTTGTCACAGGAATACATACAGTAGAAGTTGTAAATACACTTAATTAAAAGAAAAAGACAAAATGTTCCGCCCGTATGAATTTGAAGTAACAATAAACTGATCAATCAAAATAAAATCTTTATGACAGGAAATTTGTGTTTTCTTTAACAATGTATATACAATTATAATAGTAAAAATATGAAACAGCAAGAAAATACATATAATTTCAGCCTCCTATGCAGATAGTCCCAGCTATCCTATGCAGATAGTCCCCATAGGGAAAATACAGAATTCCTTTCATACGCATATGTTTGTTTAAGAAAATGTGTTTTAGGTAGGGGTTAATTCAAACTTGTGTTTTATCACAGAAGTCAGATTGTCAAATGTAGTTTTTTGGGAAATAAGTAATTTATTCTAAAGCTCAAGATCTTTAACATTCTACTTTTATTATATATTGCAATAGATATATAATGGCAACTAGGTTTCTAAACAGCAGATTAAACCTTGTATGTACAAAATCATATTCATCAGCCTTTCTGTTATTTTCATAAAAAACCAATTCATCTTCTCATGACCTGGCAAGGTAGTGGAACCTCTGTTTCTGAAGTCTCCTGTTGATAACAGTATTATTAGTTTTCATTATAGGCTGCTTAAAAGGCTTCTGTTGATGATCACTCTGATATTAGATGTAATCTGATATTATTGAAAAAACTGGGGGAAGTTTATAATCAGGTACCTGTTGATCTGTGGAGTTCCTTGATTAGGGTATTGTTTTCTGCTTGAACTACCAAGGAAGAAATCACACCCCTACCAACATAGCAAGTAAGTTGCTGCGGGCCGGCAGTTTGACACCCCTGCTGTATATAAACAGGGAGAAAACCTCATACTCACCAGCACTGTTGCCACAGACTTGTTTAGTCATCTGCATGATTCTGGGTTGCAAAAAATGATTATTTTATACAATAAGTGTTACAAGTCAGTAGCAGAATTTCTTGTGACTCTGCACTCTGCTGGTTCGCTTGTCAGTTGATAGAGCTTGAGGGCAGATAATTATTGCCCATTATTTGAGTTTGTTTGCTTTGCTTCCTTGTGGGAATTTTCCTTTTTCATACTGAGTACACAAGAACAAGCAGGTGTTGAGAAATTGGATGCAGTGGGGAAAAAGGTACAACAAGAATACTCTCCTGTAAATTAATCAGTTACTTTTTTTCAGATTGTGTTGAGAAGAGTTTTGTTTTTTGCTTTTCCCCCCTGTTTTGGAATCACAAATATGTGTCATGATGATGCTGTGGATGTTCCTAAATTGAGTTAAAGAGAGCAAATCCACACTGACATCTCATGGCCCAGGGTTGCCATTATCTTTATTGCTTTAAAAAAAAACATATCACTCTTCCACCTTTCATTGGCAAGACATTGGGTGGGCCTCAAGCATTAGCCATATCCAAACTGTGTCATTGGTCTTTTTGCAAGCAAATGTTATGTGGCAGTTTTTAGTTTGGTGTGGAACTGAAAATGGCATTGGAATATTTAAGCATGTGATTAAGCTCGCTTTGTTGCTTTACTATTTGGGGCTCCTTACTTTGTGCTTTATGCTGTGACCTGTAGCATTTCTGTCCTAGGTGATGATAAGTATGGGCGGAAAGTAATTTTGTTCAGTGCCTGCCGGATGCCTCCTAGCTATCAGCTTGATCACGTGAAGCTGCTAAGGTGAGTGTTGCTCTACCTGACTTGCTTAATCTTTGAATTTCCCCAAATGTTTCTCATTCAAGGAGCTTCTTCAGTTCTAACTCACTGGTGGAGAATAGAAGGATTTATATTTTTTGTAGTCATCTGGTCATTAGTACTCTGAGGGCTGGCCATTAGCTCTCAGAGAAGAATATAAATCCTTCCATGCTCTACCATACAGTTAGAACTGAAGAAGTTCCTTGGATGAGAAGTAAAATGTTTTCAAGGAAAAAAACCAAAAAGTCCAGTTGCCTTTTGGAAAAAGCACCTTTGGAATGTTTTTGAACAACTGTTCAGGGAAAATTCTTTAAACACTCATAGTTCATTTGTCAGATATTCCCAGTCACATTTTAGAATCCATGTCTGTCTTTATATATAGAAATTAGATAGTTCTTATTTTGACTAAGTACTGATAAAATTACCGACCATTCCTATCTCTTTCTTCAGCTATTTGAAGTATACATTGGACCAGTATGTGGAGAGTGACTACACCCTAATATATCTGCATCATGGTCTGACCAGTGAAAACAAACCATCTCTAGGTTGGCTGCGGGATGCCTACCGGGAATTTGATCGCAAGTGAGTTGCTGTGGTTTTGGATTTTAAAAGAGTTAAGATGGTATGGATAACGATAAAAGAAATAAAAATGAGAGTATAATATAGTTTTATAGCCTTCTTGGTGAGAAATTTAGGTTGATTCTCTGTTTTTCTTATAGCAGATCAAGTTCCTTTCGGTTAAGAAATGTTTTTTTTTATTAAAAGTTTTAGAATTTTTTTTACAATATATAACCCAAAACCCTCCCCCCTCTCCCCCCCTCCCCCACTTCCCAGAGTTGATTACAGGGTTACAAATAAACAATCATAATCTAACTAACATTATCCAACTCTACTAACAATCAAATCCACAACATACTTTAACTCCTTTTTCAAAACAAATATTAACAAATTAAAAATAAAAATAATAATACAGTTAAACCATAACACTAAAAATAGTATAAATTCAATCATATTAAGCTATTAACAATAACCTAAAATCTACTCGTAAGCAAGATAATACTTTAGTTAAGAAATGTTTTATATACATCATAATTCTTTGTTTTTCAGATACAAAAAGAACATCAAAGCATTGTTCATTGTGCATCCAACTATGTTCATCAAGACATTGCTGATTCTTTTTAAGCCCTTGATCAGGTATGAAAACATGAAGATGCTTTGTTGGTATAGTATAGATGTAACATAAAGTGATTAGGAAGTGAAGCATGTCTTCAGTGCTTTTTTTAAGTAGGCTTAACATAATAAGTTGTAATTTTAAAAATTATATTGTTTTTATCTTCTTTCCAGGAAGGAGTTTGAGGATGCATTATTTCCCCATTTTTTTCCTTACAAAAATGGATGAATTATTTAATATGTAAATTTCAGAATTGTTTAGTATTGTTTTTACCCTTGTGGTTCAATACATTATTCAAGTAAAATATTAATAATTAAGCATTCTAAAATGAAGATAAATATAAAATGTGTGTAAAAGATTAAGAGATAAAAAAAGTTAAAACACTAAGGCCAAGAGTTAAGAGTGTTATAAATTTTGGTTTTTAGCAAAGCATTTGATCGGGTGTCTCATGATTACCAATCTGTAAATTTAGGCTCGTGAGATGTTAGTTGAACAGCCACATACCTGGCTCAAAAATCAAACTTAAAAGAGCACCGGGATCAATGCTGCTTTCCAGGAGATTGGTGCTTCTTCGGGGCTCAGGAGAAGCACTAGGATCAGCTCCGGAAGAAGCGCCAATCAGGCAGAAAGGGGAACTGATCCTGGCGCTTCCCCCTTAGCTCTCCCAGCCTCGGAGGAGTGCCAATTAGGCGGAAAGGGGCCGAGCTCTCCCGGCCTCGGAGAAGCACCGATCAGGCAGAAAGGGGTGCTGATCCTGGCGCTCCCCCTGAGTTCTCCCAGCCTCGGAGAAGCACCGATCAGGTGGAAAGGGGCCGAGCTCTCCCAGCCTTGGAGAAGCATCAATCAGGCGGAAAGGGGTGCTGATCCTGGTGCTTCCCCTGAGCTCTCCCGGTCTAGGAGAAGCACCAATCTGGCAGAAAGGGGCGCTGATCCTGGTGCTTCCCCTGAGCCTTGCCAGCGGGACGTGCGCCTCTCGGTGTCGTATGGTTTTCAACGTTTCGCTCGAAGCAGGGATGGAAAAAGAAGCGCCCCACTCGTCACAAACTGAGAGCAGACGGTTATTGGCGTCGCGGCTCAAGGCGCATGATGAGGGAAAGAATATGATTAACACTGTGTGTGCGTGCGCGCGCGCACGCACACACACACAGCGCTTGTCTTCTACCACATTTTATTCACGTCAATCTTTTTTTTCTTCGTAATATTTGGAGTTGAAAATAGCAACTCTATACAAACGCACACACAAACATGCAGGCGGGCACGCCCCCTCTCCTCATTCAGTTCCTTTCCTTGGCTCGTCCACTGCGCGTTCCTGAGGCAGCTTTGGCAGTGTCTCGGTTCCTAAGACCATCGGAAATATGTGTTTTCTGATGGTCTTAGGTGACCCCTGTGAAAGGGGTCGCGACCCACAGGTTGAGAACCGCGGTCTAGATAAAGGTATCAAGTGAAATGCTCATGGCGTAGTCCTGGGCTTTCTGTTTTTCATTATTTTTACGATTTGATTGAAGAGGTGGAGGCAATGCTTATCAGATCTGCAGATGACACAATAATGGATGTGATAGTCAATTCCATAAATAAAATTCAAAAGCATCTTGCTAGATGAAAAAATAGACTAAGTGTAGCAGAATGAAATTGAATAGAGGCAAATATAAAGTTTTTCAGTTAGGAAATCAAAATTAAATCCAAAGCCATAGGCTGGGAAACTGTATGGTTTGGCAATAGCATTTGTAAGATGTTCTTAGAACAGCAGGCGACTACAAACCAAATATTGTGATAGTGTGATTTGAGTATAAAAAAACTAATCAACAAACTCTCCACTTCTGGGCACTGCACTGAATCCTACTATAATAGGATTCAGAGAAATAGAGTAGGAGCAGAGAAGGGCAATAAGACTGATCAGAGGATGGAAAACTACATTTTACAAGGAACGACTGAGAGAACTAAATACATTTACTCTTGAAAAAATAGGATAAGAGTATGAAAATTTGAAAAGGCTCAAATTCTCTATGTTCTTGTGCAAAACACAGAAAAATGGGTGAAAATAATGGGAAGGCAGATGCTAATTGAGTATTGAAAGAAATAATAATAGCACTTCAACAATTCTTCTGAGAGATGGTAGGCTGTTCTTGGGTGCCTTCATGTGGAGGCTAGGCATTTGTTGGGAATGATTTAAATTTGATTACTGTGTTGAGCAAGAGTTGGACCGCATGGGTTAAATGGCACCTTCTAACACTACAATTCCAGGATTTATTATAGTGCTGTGTAGTTCATGGAATATTATGAGAGGATACAGATAACTTCATTTTTCATCTGGATCTCTTAGAATTCGAACTCTTCTGTCACAACCCAACTGTTTGTAGCAGTAGTTTAAGTTTAATATTTTAGCCATGACATTATCTCAGCATAGTAGGGTCAGTTTGTTTCCAGTTATGGGAGTTATATTTCTAATTAAGCAATTTGCACATGATGGAACCAAGAAAAGAGATACTTTATTTTATTGTATTGGTTGATTTGATTTGATTTGCATGCCACCTAACTCATCTAGAAGTGATACTACTTTGCACGTGTTCAAAAGCCCATCCATTATATTTGTCCAAAATAGACAAAATATTTCAAAACCGGAACTACATAAATCATTCAGTACAAATAACCAGGACTGGATTGGATTTTCCAAGCAATGAAATTGCAGATGAGATGCAAGGCCACCTCTTTATATGTTCATCTCATATACCATAATGCTATAGTTTTACACTAATGTTCCATATTTGTTCAAAATGTTCTTGCATTTTTCCCTCTAGAGTTAGTTTTGATATCATATGACTTGCACTACATACTCCTCAGAAGCAAAAGGAAAAAGAATACCATATTTCCGATTTTCTAAATATTTTCTTTATGACATAGTGCAAATATTGCCTGCAGTCCAGACACTAGGAAAAATGATACTGAAACTCACTCTTATTTACTAAATGTTTCCATAACGTGGCTACTTTAGGATTATTGTTTTTACATATCTTAAACAAGTGCCTTTGCCCTATGGGGATCAAAAATTCTTAACTTTTATTTAGTGTTGGAAATCTTCCAACTGATTACTGAGGATTTATTATCCTTTGTAAATGATTTATTGCAAAAGACTGAAGTTTTTTTTATACATAACTGTGGCACTACCCTTGGAAAACGATCAGATTTAGTCCACTTCAAAATCTAAAGATGAAGAATTTTAATAATATATAAATTGACAATAGTGTAAGGACAACAGGATAGTATATCCTTCTAACTAATGCAGAAGAGCATCTTTCTCAATGCCATTTTTCTTTGTTCGGCTCATGCTTGAGTGTACTAATACTTATTTTTTCATTTACTGGGCTGTCAATTGTTTTGCAGCTTTAAGTTTGGAAGAAAGATATTCTATGCAAACTATCTGAGTGACCTTGAGGAGCATGTGAAGTTGGAACAGTTGGGAATCCCAAGCCAGGTGCTAAAGTGAGAACAGATTGCTTATTTTGACTTGCTTGTTTCCAGCTTCTGAAATGGAGGATGATGTATTAAGAAGGGGAGTCAAGAAAAGCGCCTTCAGAGTTTGATTTCTTTGCATACATGGTGCGACACAGGCAGTCCTTGACTTGCAACCATTTAGTGACCATTTGAAATTACAATAGCATTGAAAAAAGTGACTTATGACTGTTTTTCACACTTACAACTGTTGCAGCATCCCCATGATCACATGATCAAAATTCAGATGCTTGAGAACTGGCATGTATTTATGACAGTTGCAGTATCCTGGGGTCATGTGATCACCTTTTGCAACCTTCAAAGTCAACAAGGAAGTCAGATTTACTTAACAATAGTGTTACAAACTTAACTGCAATGATTCACTTAGCAACTGTGGCAAGAAAAGGCATAAAATGGGTCAAAGCTTACTTAACAACTGTCTTGTTTGGCAATGGAAATTTTGGGCTCAGTTGTGATCGTAAGTCGAGGACTGTCTGTACTTTGAACCATTTGATGTCCCCCAGCAAAAGATGGGGAAACATTTTTAATCTCCCTTTCTTACAGTCTTTGTGTTGGAGACTTTCTTCCAGTTATTCAACTGTCTTATTGTTCCTTTATCTTGTATTTGAGAACTTACTCTTAACTTTCTTAAGCAGAGGTAGTTTAGGTGTCATCTTTAGATCTAACCTGCTCATTCCAAATTATTTTTCTGCTCAGTTGCCTGTGACCTGGATGTCCTAACTTGTATTAGAGGGTTTCTAACTTTCTGTTAGTTAGTTATTTAGATAGTAGATGGTGTAACTATTCTAGAGGGTATATTGTAGGGCATTCTTTCATAAAGTAGTGCATCAATGGATATTAGTTAAATAAGATTTTTTAGTGTAGGACAGATTTCATACATACCAATGTTTTTTTTTCATTGTAGGTATGATGAGTATCTGAGATCACTACAAAAACCTACCCAGGTGCCTCAGAAAGTAACACCACCCCGTCCGCCTCTGCCAAATCAGCAGTTTGGAGTTTCTCTCCAACAGTGAGTATTTCCGTCTCTTTATTTTAGTTGATGTACTAGTGATGCCTGCACACTTTCTCTGGCAATATTATCAATGTTTCCAATCCAATTACTGCTGTAATTAATTTTCTTCTGCCAGGCTGAGCTACCAAGATCTTGGCCAGGGAGACCCTGGATATTAGCTCTTTTCTCCACCCTTCCCAAATAATATGTGTGTCGTGTGAGCAATTATTTTAGAAAGATTGGTATAAAATTATTTCTAGCACCTTGCAAAGGAAAGATAAACATTATATAAGCTTCTCCTTTACCAACAGGTTGAGGGAGAAGAACTCAGATCGGAATCCTATCCCATTGGTGATCAGAGAAACCATTGCTTATCTACAACAGCATGGTAAGAGCAAAGAGAATCCATGTTCAAACTGATCTGCCCCCTCTGGTATCCCCTACAACAGTGTTTCCAACTTGACAATTTTAAGGCATGAGGACTTCAACTCCCAGAATTCCACAGCCAGCAACGCTGGCTGTGGAATTCTGGGAGTTGAAGTCCACATGCCTTAAAATTGTCAAGTTTGGGAAACACTGCCCTACAGGTTTTTTTTTTTGCTTGGATCGGCTTAGTTATTTTCAGATGTCTTAGCATTTTTCTAACTTCACATTGAAAAACAGTGGAATTCTATATATATCAGTATTGTAAGCTGTTTCTTTGTAAATATCATGGGCAAAATTTCTCTAAATCATTTGGAGAACTTGCAACCTTCTTGCTTCATTGTCCGGTTCTATAATAGATGACATTATTTTTAGGGCTACATAATGTTTATTGCTCATGTTTGTAATAATATGATTACTCTGAGCTCTTTCCCTTCCTGCCTCTTTCAGCTCTTACCATACAGGGGATTTTCCGGCGATCTGCAAATACACAAACAGTAAGAGAGGTTCAACAGAAATACAACATGGGTAAATATCTGCTCGAGGTAGTCCCTTCCATTTGTCTTTCCCTTCTGTACAGGCCTTAAATTTGCCCTTGGCACGTGGAACTTCTGCCATATTGCAGGTTATGCTTTGGCTATTGCTCAGAAACACTTTATTCTCTCTTACCCAGGATTACCTGTGGATTTTGCAACATATGAAGATGTGCATCTTCCAGCTGTGATTCTCAAGACCTTCTTGAGGGATCTGCCTGAGCCTCTGCTCACCTTTGGTCTCTACAGTGATGTTGTCAATTTCTACAGTGAGTTGTTACCAAGATGGTCCTAATCCCATATCAGTAATCTTTTCTCAGTATGTTTGACCCAGAGTTATGATTTTCTTTGACAGTAGGACAGTGCTTCTCAAATAGTGGGGCGGGCCCCCCAGGGGGGGCGCGAGGCTCCGTAAAGAGGGGCTCGTTTGACCTCGGCAAATACTGTCATATTGGATTTCTAGATCGGATCATTCGACTCACTCGCAAGCGGCAGCCCGACGCGGAGGACAACATGACCGCCAATGCACGTGACACATGCAAAGGACCCGATTGGATAGACATGATGCTCTATCCTGATTGGCCAAACCCGCCCGTGTGACTTTTAGACCCGGAAATCGGTCCTCTGTACAGAAAAATTTTTTTTACAGTCGCGCGGGGGGCGCAAAATGTTTTCTTCTTCCTAGGGGGGCATGACAGAAAATAATTGAGAAGCACTGCAGTAGGAGAAGACTTAGTTTTCAAGTTAATATAATTAAATTTCTATTGATTAGGAGACTCTTATTTCTTTTCAAGTATTTTTTCTCTGCAAGATAATCTCTCCCTATGTTAACTAGAATTGGGGATGTTGGTGCCTATCACGCTTGTTTTCTTTTCCTTTAAGGTATGGAAGAAGAAAAGAGAATAGATATTGTTCGCAAAACACTTCAGACTCTCCCAGAGGAAAACTATCAAGTTCTATGTTTATTAATGAACTTTCTTGGGCAGGTGAGATGAGTGTATGACATACTTTTCAGATCCTCAGTCATAAGGTGTGGTGATGATGGTTAGCTTATATAATTTTAAAACAAATTTGAAAAGTTAATGGAGGGTGCCTATCACTTATTATTAATCATCATCATGTGATAGGCACCCTCCATTAATTTTGTGTAACTGTATGTTTAGAAATAACCTAAATTTGAATATGAGATAAACTGGTTAGAAGGCCTGTGAAGACATTGATCTTCGCTCTGGTGAGGGAGCATAAGGCCCTTTGCTTCCACATTTATTTATTTATTTATTTACAGTATTTATATGCCGCCCAATCCCAAAGGACTCAGGGCGGCGTACAAAGTTAAAAACAATGATAAAACAGTAAAATAAAGCAGTTATACCACAGTCATACCACGAGTCCGATCATATCCCGCCCCCCCCGGGGACATCAGCCCCAGGCCTGCCGGAACAGGAGGGTTCATCCTTAATCTTTCATGTTTGATTGAATTTATCATAATTTTTTTAATTTGGTTATGGTGAGCTGCCCAGAGTTGTGGAAAGGCGGGCAGAATACAAGTTTAACAAGCTATTATTAGCCATTGCTTGGAAACAAGATGCTGAAATAGGTGAACCCAATTTTTTCCTGTGTATCCAATCTGTATCCCTTCTATAGTGCTCCATCCTGATGCCCTTTCCCCAGTTATTGACAAATATTCTACTTGTGAAAGGATCGGGCTCAGGTTCCGCCAAAGCACTTCATTGCTGAGCAGTAATTAGAAAATTTCTATATCCATGCTGAAATCTGATCACTATAATCAGTGTTTCCCAAACTTGACAATTTTAAGGCATGTGGACTTCAACTCCCAGAATTCCACAGCCAGCAATGCTGGCTGTGGAATTCTGGGAGTTGAAGTCCACATGCCTTAAAATTGTCAAGTTTGGGAAACACTGCTATATATACTATATATATCCATTTTCTTGCTACAATTTATGTTTCTTTTTCTTCTTCTGGTCAGTTGTGTCTAATTCTCAGACACAAATCCGTGCAGTTTTCTTGACAAGATTTTTTTTTTCAGAAGTGGTTTGCCATTGTCTCCTTCCTAGGATTGAGAGAGAGTGACTGGTCCAAAGCTGCCCTGGGTGGGATAGAACTCGTGGTCTCCCAGTTTATATCCTAATGCCTTAACCACTGTGCCAAAGTGCACCTCATTATGTGTTGTGTGGCAAAAAAAACAAAATTAAAAGTGAATATAAAAATAAGATTAATACTAACAGAATGTAATTCCTTGTTAGTGTGATGCAATGCATAGATAACTTTGAGGAACGAGGGAAGGAAATGTTGCCTAAGAAACCATCAGACAAAAGAGACAGGAGCCCTCAATTGTTTAATCAAAGAAGAAACCTAGGAATGACACACCTTCCTAGCATTTAAAAGCGGTAGGCAAGAAATTTGTACTTTCAGACTTGCAAGATTGATGTTGGCTTTCCCAGTTCAACCAGTCAGGAAACACGACCAGATGAACTAAATCTGCTTTATTGTCAGGCCACATTAACAGAACCTCGTAAGTCTGAAAGTACAAACTTCCCACCTGCCACTTTCACTGCTAGAGCCGTTAGGGTGGGTCCTTCCTAAGACTCTGACCATTAAACAATTACGGGTGCCTGGCCTCTGTCTCTTATCTGATTTCCTATGCAGCATATCCTCTCCCTTTCCTCAGGGTTATCCATGCAATTGAAAGTATCTCTAAGAGTATAAGGGACAAGATACGAAACCTGTATTCCTATTCTGCGGCAGGTGAACAAGATTGCCAAAAGTTATATATAAATGTGTATGAGCTTGTGTATGTGTGCTTGTCATCTTTAAAGCTCTTTGAGGTTCATCCCAATTATCCATGAGGCTGCCTGCTTCTAGGCTCTAGCGGAGGGCTGGACTAGAAGACCTTCCAGCTCTATTCTGATTGAATTAAATTAGTTATACCTCCTCCTCCTCCTTCTTCTGCCATATCTGTTATCGGATGTTGGCGATCATGTTGGCGATCTTGTTTTTATCAGCAGCCGCATAAAAAAGTGCTGCTGAGTTTTGTCCAAACCAGTCCCTTAGATTTTGAAGCCACAATGTTCTTCTTCTGCCTGGACCTCGTTTGCCTTCAATCTTTCCCTGGAGGGTTAAATGGAGTATGCTGTATTTTTCTGGGTGTCGCATCACATGTCCGAAATATTCTAACGTTCGTTTTTTAATTGTTTTGATGATTTTCCTTGGCTTTCCCAGGTGGCTTATCACCCTCTCATTTCTGATCTTGTCAACCCAGCTTATATGTAACAGCCACCTGTAAATTCACATTTCAAATGCTTCTAGTCTCTTCAGGTGGCCTTCTGTCAGAGACCAACTCTCTACTCCATAGAGCAGGATAGAAAAAATATAGCATCTGACAAGCCTGATTTTCAGTCTTAATAGTTATACCTGGCTGTCCTATTTGATCTAACAGACTAAGCACATTCTAAGTCCCATTGTTAAAATTATGACACCATGCGAGACTTCAGAGATGTATCTTTTCAGTAGTCTTACCTGCTGTGTGGGAAAGAAGCCCAATATCTGCATGGCCCCAGTCATGTTGTCAACTTAGGAAAGGTCTTCAAGGGTGACACAGGACACTTTATGACGCTACACTGATCTTAAGTTATTAGTTCTTTATTCTTGATGTTTCTTTCCCTATCCACTTTTACAGTGACTTTGGATGTGTAAAAACAGTCATACAATATAATTTAAATAATAATAATAATAAAATGCCTGCAGACTTCAAAAGAAAAGCAGCCATTAAAAGACAATAAATCCTACAGATCCATTCTAGCCGAAGGCTTGGAGAAAGGGCCAGTTTTTCAGATCTTTTTTTAAAATAATAATAATAATAATAATGATGATGATGATGATGATGATGAACTGCTTCCATCCTGTGACGATATCACCAAACATCCACATCTGCCTATCCCAGGTCCTGGGTAAGGACTCGATAGGTAGAGAAAATGCCAAATCCAGTCTGAACATCTGGCTGACTGTGCGATGATCAATAATAATAATAGTATGTTTTTACACATCCAAAGTCATTGTAAAAGTGGATAGCTTTATACATATCTTAAATCAATCAAATTTATAAGCTCACTCAACTTGCAATGTCTCTGTTGCAAGTTGCTCACATGTCCTTGGACAGTTGAAGTGGCTTATAAATTGAAGAAATAAATATCTACCAATTAGATTTTTGTTACTTTATTCCAGAAGAGATTGAAACCAACACACTAAAAGAAATTAGCAGATGACTGATTCCGTAAACAGGGAAGGAAAAAAAATGGTAACTAAAGACCAATAGTCTATTAAACTGCAGGTGTTCTAAACTCCAAATATCACTATTTTATATGCAAGACAACTTTGGTCTTTATGTGTAACCTGAGAGTTGAATAGATGGTAAGGAGCTAAGAAGCATTGAATCAAATTCCTGGTTTTTTTTTTTTGAGTGTTTAAATTTTTCCTTCCTCTTTCTCTCCCGTTACTTCACATGTAGGTCTCTGCCAACAGTGATATCAACAAGATGACCAATGCCAATCTGGCAGTAGTATTTGGCCCAAATCTGTTGTGGGCTAAAGATGCAGCTATAACCCTCAAAGCCATCAATCCTATCAACACCTTTACCAAGTTCCTCTTGGACAACCAGGTGCAGCTTTTCCAGAACACAGAGGCTTGAGCCATAACCTGTTCCTGTGTCCACTGTGATCATTCCTTTCTCCTCCTCCTCCTCCTCTTCCTCCTCCTTTTCTTTTCTACCTTGCTTTGGAGATGTGGCCATTCTGAAGACGTTCCAGGTGATGTGTAGTGTGAAAGATGGATACAGTTTGCTTGTGCATATATATGGAGGGTTTTGCAGGAAGGGGGCTTATCAGATGAGGAGGGAAAGCAGATCTCAAAAATCAAGTTCTACCTTGGCTATTCTGTCTTGGGTACTTGTACTAGTATTCAGGTTGTTCTGTCTTGGGTACTTGTACTAGTATTCAGGTTGTTCTATTCTGTCTTGGGTACTTGTACTAGTATTCAGGTTGTTCCAAAGGTGTCCTATCAGATAAGTCTCGTTAACTGTCAGTGGAACTGCTTTCTCTTAGTACCAGGCCCTGGGCGAGTGAATTAGAGTGGAATTTATCTCAGTCAGTTCTCTGGTCCAAATTGATTCTTCACAGGTGCCCAAGTCAGGCAGTCCTGTTTAATACTGATAAGTGACTTGCTGAATACACTTTGTACCTTGGATGGATGCAGCATAGACCTAGTCCCTGGCAAAACTGAACCGTAATACAACTGGCTTAAGTGTCTGGAAACCTATCTATAGATTTCATGCAGCTCTGACACTTGATCTGTTATCAGGTGTTCCTGTTATGTAAAGATTACGTGCTCTTGGATGTACCGGAGCTCACTTTTCTGCCTTGTCCATGTTCTCCTGTAGCCTTTGCCAGCAGTTTATTTCAGAATGGCCTTGGCAGCAAGCCTTTCCTTCTGAACTGGCAGATAATGAATGCAAGTACCTGTACGTGTACTGACATGCATTCAACCAGGCCAGCTCCTCTCTGCCAAAGTCCAGATCAAATATTGGCCATGCCTGGGACTGAAACACAGGAAGTGTGCTATTAGGCGGCTCTGGATGCAGCACTTTAGACATTGGAATTAGATTGTTTTCAAGCAAAAGCTTCATGACAGGGCCAAACCTTATTCTAATCTGCTGGGATCTACTGTGCCAAAACTATTAAAGAATAACTTTGTTTCTACCATCTTTTCCTGATGGGGCTTCATTGTAGTTTTTCTGACTTAAGTCAAAATGACCCCGATGCACCTTCTTTGGCACTTGAGAGGGATGAAGCATTGCTTTCTCTTTTTCTAGGAACTGAGATAGGCCTGCAGTAGGTTTATCTGGTTTTTTTTTTTCAACTGTCTCGTTTTGAAAAAGCTAGTCTTAATTTATAAAAAAATAGCACTGCCCTGCAATGTCTTTAGCACTCATAATTTTAAGATAAAATCTTAACATTGCCATTATGTCCTGCTGACCGCTCTGTTGGCAGCTGAATATGACCACATAGCCATTAAGTTGACCCTACAAAGCAGAGGGCCCAAGTCATACAATTATATAGACTAGCAATGTTTTTTACCCCATAGTTCAGTGCAATTACGTAATAAAATTATTTGTTAGGCTCATAATTAACACATGATCAATGCAAACTAAAAAGTGTACCTGGGTTATCAATGCCAGTAGTTCAACCATGGCTGGTAAAAAAGCTCTAGTTCGTAATTGAAAGAATTCCCAGACTATTAGTGATAACAGGGAATGGCAGATTAAAGTGGTTGAAGCTATTAAGAGGGGCTGATGTGCTAAGATTGTTCATTCTCCTTTATTAAAGCATATAAGATTAATCTGATATATTCTACATAGTGCTTAGTCTAAAGAAACATGGGACCCTTTCAGCTAGAAATGAAAAGTTATAAAGATTATCAAAAGGGGTTTTCTTTTAATGTGTTGTATATATATTATTTAGCATGACTAAATGAGGAGTGGCCTTGCATAGAAACCATTATCAATATTAGCTTCATTGTTTTATATTTCAGGCCATGAATAGCTTGTAGGCTGTTTTTTATATTATAGCATGCCATTGTGAACTGAGACTAGATTTGGTCTGATTCTAAGCTGTAGAAGTATTGCTTTGTTTATTAAAAATGCCCAGGTGAAAAGGAAACTGATGGTACAGAAACAGCAATTTAGAATAGTAAGGTCCCAGTGCTTCAAGTTTAGTCCTTGCACTCAAACTATAATTTCTATACTGAATTAGTTTCAGAATTATGTTAACACAAGTTGAGGAGAAAATAGTTTCTTGGGGGTTCAGTATTGTCAGACCTGGGCAATGACACATTTATCAACTACATATATTTCAAACTCCTGAATGTGACTTTGCGTTGCCAGGTTATAAAATATATCTTGTTAAGTGCACCATATTATGAAAGTGAACTTGCAAAACTGTAGAAGTGAGCCAGTGTAAATAATTCTTAATTTTCTCACTTTGCTGAGAGCGACCAGAAAAATCTAAAGCATGTGATTGCTTTGTTTCTTTTTCTTTTCTCATTTTGCCTTCTTGAAACTATAGCTAGCCATGGACCTGTGATTGGGCTAGACTGTTTAAAAGAATGAAATATGTGGTTTGAATTACACTGCTGTCCCAAGTTTTGATTTCCAAAATGCCTGCTGCCTGAACTGGGGCTTCCAAGCAGGCAGTCAGAGTAATTAGAGGGGCAGCATCCATGTAGCTGTTTATGTCTTCCCACCTCCTTTCTTTAAACATAGCTTGTTCTGGCTCTACTTCCTCTCCTCTTCTGTCCTTTCAGTGGTACATCTATGTATTCCTGTTTATTGTTGCTTGGCTTTCTTGTTAGATATTGACCCCAGTATTTGTAGATGGAGCACTATGTCTCCACTCCATCACTCTTCTGCCTGTCAATAAACCCACTGATTCTTTGGCATCCTTGGAACACATTCTGTGCCCACATTGCTAGCAGCTACTCCTCTGCTTGTACTGACACAAGTTTTTGGGTAATACTGCTGATGTTGAGGCTCAATCTGGATGTCTTGCTGCCTCAGCCAAATATTACATGGCCAAATGAGTCCTTGTTGCACACTCTCCAGTGAGGTCTTAATGTAATTTTTGTTGCTGTTCCCCTATATTTTACTTCTTTTGATTGTTTATTGGGAGCAAGGCTGGGGGTTGTTACTGTGACTTTTATTTACATAACCTTGTTTATTTCCTTCCAGTGGTACCAATCTTGTATTCACAGTTTGCACTTTTTGTACTTCAATAAACACTCAAAGCCAATTAACAAATTTTGGTGTGTGTCTCCATTTGTTATTCTAAGACTAGTTATTAAGAGATGCTGTTTAATAATAGGCACCTCCTATTAACTCCTTTATTTTCAAGTATTGACTGCTTAAGTCAATACTTGAAAATATAGAAGCTATTTTTTTTCATTCTTAAACCAATTGTGTTGGCTGGATCTAGCATAATTGTCCCTATTACGTATAAATCAATGCTTATTAGATATAGTGCAGTCCATTTTATCTAGAGTTTCTCCAACTCTACTACGGCTGTTTTAATGAATTGCTTTCAGATCTGAAGTAATGTTACTACACATCCAAATGTTTGTATCTCCACTATAACTAAAGAGGAATAAATTTAAAATTAGAACCTCATCGATGGCTAACCTATCTAGAACAGACTCTTACTACGTCTATCTTTCTAGGTAATGATCTCATTAACTCTTGAAAAGAAAGCTAGAAAGCACCCAGCTTTTGAAGATAAACCTTGGTCCTATGTGAGGTACATATGTTCTTTTGAGGGAGAGCATATTTGCTTGCCAGTAGTGTGGACTGTTATAAAAACTAGAACAATGTCAACTATAAGAACCATGAACATTTCTTCTGTCCTAACGATTATCTAAATGTACAGCTAAATATACCAAATATGAATATAATCATATTGCTGTTAGGAAAAAAATGAAAATATAGAGACTGGGAAATGAAAGGAATGATATATTAAAAGTAACCAGTAAAAGGAATAATATTTTAAAAAATGTTCTTAATTTTGGCTTTCACTCTAAGAAAATGACAGGTTGAGTGATAATTGACTAATAACATGATTAGTCTCATTGAAATTAGTGAGGTAATTGGGGAAGAATCACACTACTTATTTCAGTGTAATGTATTAATATATTTCATCCACTGATATGTCCTGTGATTAGTTAATTTTATATGGAATTCAAGTAGGAGACTGAATTTCGACTCTAGTACTGTATTAGCTTTTTAAAAAATGCAATCAAATAAAAAAATAGAAACTTGTCATACATTTTTCATGAACTATCAAGTAGAAAGCTATTTACTTTTTTAAAACCAGAGCCTACTTTTAGGATTTGGATATAGTCCTTCATAATACAGAAATGCATCAGGCAAATGTTTATAATTTATAATAAATATATGACAAGATTCACTTTATTTTTTCTAAGTATTTGCTCTCACAACCATTTTTCTTATTTTTTAAAAATTTCCATACTGTCCATACAAAATGCTGAGAACATGGTCCAGCATAAATATGGTTACTAGCATGTTTTCTGTTTGGGGAAATATGGGAGATTTCAGAGAGTAGTAATTGCTATCCAAACTAATATTTGGTTCCCATTCCAGGATGATTTTTATGGAAACTATAGCTGCAAAAGCCTTTTTGTTCCTTATAATTATGAATTTAAACTGATATTAAGTCTTCTCTGGAAATGCAAAGCCAAATGTGTCCAACCCTTCTTCTATAGGTTGCATGCAACTGAAATGTACTATATGGAGATTCAAAAGATGATTTCACTCTTTCACCTACCCAAGAGAACTAAACATCTTAAGCGTTGCAGAAGCAAAATACATTCATTTTGCCCCTTATTGTCTTCCTGGTTGAGCTGGGGAGCATAGGGGACAAAATTACCTCAAATCACTTATCAGAAAGTTCTTTTTACCCAATGTAGGTTAAATACTTTTAGTCAAATAAATGTCCTGGTTATGGTTGGGTAATGAGTTTGGGTGTTGTTACCCAAAGAAAGACCACTTTTATCCAATTTTGAGTAATTTACCAGGTTTGCGAAGCACTGGCTTAAGGCATCCATCGACAAAGTGAAGTTTGGCCTTGCCTACAAATGTTGTGACTAGCTCATAGTATCCGACAATCTGCTTTTAAGGTTTTAGTATTTGCATGACTATAGCCTAGTAACTGCTTTTTAATATGTTTGTAATAGCTGAGATATGTGCATTCTGTAAACTACGTGTACAAGCCAATTTCTGAGCTTTAATATGTGATCAATTTATTGTACAATACTGTATATGAACAGATTTCATTTACTTATATTTCCCAACTTTACCTCACTGTTACTGTGCATAACATTGTATTTTACTTAGAATTCCAATTACAAATATTTCCAGTATGGAAAAAAACGAGACACTTTTATCAGCACATATATTTATTAATAATGTAGTTATATAAATGATTAAAAAAATAAATCCCCATCAAAAGATCCTTGCCAACCTCAAATGAAAATCTGATAGCATAATTAAATCAACCTGCCTCCATTCTGCAGAAGTATAAAAGTTCTTATTGATGTAAATATTGACAAAGCTAGGCCTCTATCGCAGGTTTGTTAGCTATATTTATATATGTACTTACACATGCATATGCTGCCTCCTATCACTCTAGATGGCTTTTGAGCACATGTTTCTCTCCTGTTCTAAATGACACTTCTAGTCTTTCATGAAGACAACAGCAAATCTCTGTAGATTGCTTTTGGAATATCTGAATTATTTTTTCTCAAGTACTAATACTCTAGAGTCAGCAGTATAATTTATCAAATTTCTACTATTTCATTAAACTGCAAGGGAGACAAGGTGGATGTCATAGAAAATCTTACCAAATTACTTGTTTCATAGCTGATGTGTGTGTGTGTGTGTGTGTCTGCTCATACAATCCTGCGCATTCATACGCTATTATTGAATCTGGAGAGGCATATTTCTGAAAAAAATGTTGGGAAAGGTGATATGAAAATGGCAATTCTACAAAGAGTAGCTGAAGAGTTAGAAGTTTGGGGGCTTTAACAGGAAGATAGCTGTTTATCTTGCCTTGCTAAAATCTGAAGTTTGGGTAGAAAAGACAGTGGAACAGATGAATTTAAAATAGCACAAATGTTTTATTGGAAATTATATGAAAGTGTAGTGGAATATTTTGAATAGTGTTTCCAAACAAATGCAGGGGAGGAACCTTATTCAGTTGATGCATTTGAATATTGCTTACAACGTATCAATTCTGATTCACAGCACTGTAATTAGAAATGTATCCTCTGACAATCTATAACTGAATCCCTGATAAGAGGATTTATGTAGGATAGTAAGTTGATGTGTTTATTAGGCAGAACCAGTAAGATTGTCTTCAAAAAATAAACAAAACCAGGACTGAGACAACAGCATCTTATAATATTATGTAAGCGTACTTCTTGCTATTTCCTACCCCCGCAAGAACCCCAAATCTGTGATGTTCTCAAAGGGCTATTCTGTTGGTAGAATATCAGAATCATACCACTAAATTACAATCCAGCACATATTTCAGTGTAAGAAAATCACTGAACAAGAAATGAATATCAACATGAGTAACTTGAAATTCTATTCAAAGAGACTTGTAGTTATATTATTTTATCTGTATAATTTTAAACTATGAGAATAAATAGTTACAGGTAGTTCTCAATGTACGACCACAATTGGGACTGGAATTTAGGTCACTAAGCAATGCGTTGTTAAGTGAGTCATCAAGTGACTGGACCCAACTTTATGTCCACTTTTAACTATGGTAAGCAAATTACATGGTAATTCAATGAATCTGCAAGACACTGCAAGTGTTAAACACCCAAATTGTGTGACTGCGGCAGTGGTGCGATGGTCGCAGCTTACAGGATGGGCCTTAATATCACTTTTCCAAGGCCGTCATAGCTTTGAAATGTCAATAATGAATGGTTGTAAGCTGAGGACTACCTATAGTTGACTAAATTTCTTTAATCGTTACAGCATTTTACTGTGAAAATGAAGCAGGAACAAAATAAATGCCGTGGCATAAATGTCAAGGTAAATTGCAAAAAAAAAAAAAAAATTAGTTTTGGCAGAAAAATGACTTTTAGGAACATTAGAAACAGTAGAAACACAAGTAATTTCCTTACCTTACTATCATTTACAAGAATAGGCTCTCCTGTAGTCAATGGTGAAAAAGCCTGTTCAGATAAATAGCTCTACATCATCTGATATCTCATGAATAATAACAAGGAATGCTTCCCCCCTCATATTCATAAAATGTTTTGATTAGAAAGCTAAAAGGTTTGGGAAATCAAGCCCTATTTTATGCAGATATGACTGTGGGTTGGAAGCTCTTTCTGGCAACCTATTTTGAAGTAATTTTGATGTTACTATCATTCTCAGCCCCAAAACAAGCCCACACACCCTACTTAGGAGCAATTTAGGTATGAACCTAGATGTGTGTTCTTCAGTGGTCCAATAATGAATAACAATATCACAAGTACTTTGAAAATAAACTTTAAAGATATTTTTCGGTCAATTTAAGTAAATTTCTTACCGTCTGAGGCATTAGGATAAACTACATGCTAGAAGACAAAAGGTTTAATTTTCTGCTCATTTCAGCAAAGCAGTAGGGAACAGAAAATTCCAGAGCCTATCTGAAAGATGTATACTGCCCTAATAATCTACCCTCCCTATCACCCCGTCTTAGACCCCAAGCAAGCAAAATCTATTAAGAGCAGAGCATTTAGTCAACATTCCATTATTTTAAACTATAAATATCCTTCATATCTAAAGGCAACACTCATACAAAAGCATCTAAGATGAAAGACAGAAGGAATGAGGGGATATGATCTCTCTTCAATACAGTATACGGCAGTCCAATTCTATACAGGTTTACTTAAAAATACCTTCCTAAAGTTTAAAAATACTTGCTCCAATTAAAATATGCATAGAGGTGAATTCTCAGCCTGGTTTTGATAGTGGAAAGGAAGAACTTGTTCCCAGAGCCTAATTTATCCCTAAACTCATATAAGTGTCTTTTTCCTTCCTTCCTCATAGTTGGTGTGGAATATGGAGCAAACAGAACACATAGAAATGCCAGTCGATTGCATTAGTTAATGCCTAACTCATTAGAAAAACAACTTTAAACAAAACATTGTACGATAGAACAAGTACCGTAAATCTCGTAAAATGTTACTTCTATACCAAGTTACTTTCTAACTCATCGCAGATTATAGTAAATTTATTTTACAAATATGACAGAGCTTAACTTTTTAGAACTCTGCAAATTCACTACAGCAGAGCACATATCTTAATTATGACATTTCTAGACCCCTCCCCAAGAGGGTAGAATGAAATCAAGTCAATCTCTGAGAAAGATAAATTTCCCAGCACAACATTTCCACTTTTGAAAAAAAAACAAACAAAAACCAAAGGAAGATGCCCTCATTCTTTGTAAGGTTGTTCATAGCACTTTTGCAGTGACAAAAGAACACAGCAGCCTATGGCTATATAACAATGTGAAAACATAACATACAATTTTTCTTTAAATATAATTTCCTTTAGAATAATAAATATTTCTTATTTCTCTTAACATAGAGCAGCAGCATCTGTAAAAACTTTGGACTAAAGATCCCTAATTAAGTAATCCTAAAGAATTAGGATCACTAATATGTATTTACAATTAGCAATTGTAAGAAGACCCCATGAACTCTGAACCTTCTTCAAAAGCAACAAGACTTTTTGTCTAGTCTTAGGCAGGCATTGTTTTTGACTCTGTTGGTGGAAAAATATATGAGAAGCACTTTTTTTCTGCTCTTATGGATTAATTCCCAACTGTACAGCAGGGGAAAAAAATGATGTGCAACACTTTGTTTCCATTATTTAGAGCATTAGAAGTGACTATTATCCTCTGAAACAGACTGAAAATAGACTAATTCTGCAGTGCTAGTGTTCAGGATTCAATGTAGCATAGATTATTCTGTTTGTTTTGTTCCTTTCAGTTGATGGTTCTGTTGAATCAAGTGAAAAGAGACAATGGGTGATGGAAGCAGAAGGAATAGACAATCATTACAGATGAGATAATAAAAGGCAGAAGTGATCATTTTGTTCCTCACTGTACTGCTTCAGATGCCAACTGTAACAAGAAGGAAAATTAATTAATTCATCACAAGGTCAGTTCAAAGGGATGCACATTTGTTTCTGCATTGGATAAAGCCCAGAAAGCAAATGAAATTGTTGCTGCAACATAACAGGACTCGAAAGAAGAGGCAGGTGCAAAATGTATAGGCCTGCTTTTCCAGAGTGCCGAAGAGGACGTACGATGCTGTTCTAGCTTGGTTCAATTTCACTGTAAGGTTTCTACAAACGCATCAAATTCTTTGACGTTCCTCTCATGAACAGCCAATTTCTCTGGCAGTGAGTCCTGTGAAAAGAGAAAAATGTGTTAAGTGGCTAAACTGAAACCTCTGTGGGCAAAAGATGCAATACTCAGCAGGAAAGAAATGCATGCCCATTCAGAAAGCTCTTTCATTAACTTGAAAACTTGCATTTTTCCTGCAGGTGATTGTGAAATGGCAGGACTGCGTCAGCCATTTCTGGCTTGGTAGAAAAAAAAAATCAAAATTTAGCGTTATAATCACCACACAAAATTATTAGCTTGTGAAAGATTGGACTTAACAAATGATTGCCATTCTGGATATTATTTCAAAAATATCCACTGACTAGAGCAGAAGTCCTTAACCTGTGAGCCACGGTCCACTAGCAGGCCGTGAGGGGTTTGCAACCTGGCTGCGGAAATGGCTGGTGAATGCGCGTGCACCCTCATTTGTGCGAGCAGCGAGCACGTGTTCCATTTAAGTGAGTGGCAGGCAAAGGTGCATGCCATTCGTGCAGATGGAGCGGCACACACATGCTTGCCAGCTACACTCATATGGAACCATCCCCTCTCCCCACTGCCAGTCCGGAAAGCCAGAAATGGACTAGAGGGCAAACTAATAAGGCAAGTAGTAATTTGCCCAAGAACACACATACAAGTAGAAATAAATCTGAGCTTCAAAATTAACATTTTGAACGCATAAGTTTTCTGCTACAATAGATTTAAATAAACAAATATGAGAATATTTGGCCAAACACTTGAGTTTAAAAAGAAGAAATGGGATTTGAATCTCAGGTATTAAATTACATAGTTGCCAACAATAAACTACTTAGCTCACAGAAAGGAAACCAGTGACTCTCAGTGGAACACATCAATATACATATGATTCTTTTCGAAACTGTAAAGTCATACTTACAGTTGACAAAATACAACAAAATATAAAAAGCAACTCTCAAAACCTAGGAAAAATGTACATCTATCACATAAAACCTAAGCAAAGCACACAACAGCAAAGTGTTCACACTGTACTTCAATCTACTAATCCCCCATATAAATCTTGAAGACACTCATTGTTAGTAAAATTATAGCTTGCTTTCTCGCAAATAAGCTTCTAAGTGAAATGTTTGAATGCAGCTGTCCATATTTGTACTTCTAAAAAAAAATGCTTTCAAACTTTCAAACTCATACAGGGCCCAATAATACAAAAAGGAAATATAAAACAGCAACTAACTGAACATGAAGAGCACCTCTGTAGAAGTCAATACGAGTCCATGACAGTGAATCTATTACTGATGTTTCCTCCAAGACTCAAGGTTAACTAGCTCCCTCCTTCCAAACAGAACTCTGTAGAAAGAGTCAGCTACTGAAATGGCATGGAGGGATAGAGTTAAAACTATGCTATTTCTCATCAAACAGATTTCATAATATCAATTATTTCCCAGCATTTAACAAAAGTGAGAGCATTGGGAAAAACTTTCTACAATCAGACAAAAATTCTTGAAACAAAGGAACTAATATGCAAAAAAGCAAAAAAGCACCACACCTTATTTATTGATCGAAGTTCTGAATTTATTAGGCATCAGAGTGAAATTCAAACCATCAATGCCCTTTACAGTTTGTTAGAAAACAGACTTAAATTTGTATAAAAGCTTCAAACCCCTGAGAGAAAGAAAATCTTGTTGCTGTAAGGGTCCCTAGGGTGGCTGTTACATATCACGAGCCAGGGATTAAAATATTTTTGGCATTTCCAGGCAGATTTCCAAGCAGTTCTTGCCTGATTTATCTCACTTTGGCGGATTTTTAGACATATTTCAGCATGTTTTGACTGAGGGTATTTCAGAAATTCCAGCAATAATTTTAAGGAAGGTCAAAACTGCTAGAAAATCAGTTATTCTTAGCAAACTATCTCATATATTCATTGTGGGAAAAAGAGGAAAGGAGCACTATGTATGCTACCTTAAGCTCAGAAGTAAGAAGTAGGATATAAATTAAATACGTACATATAAATATATAAATTAAATACGTACATATAAATGCAGGGTTGTAAAAACTAACATTTGGACTTTGAACTTCCTGGTTCACAGCTCTGCCTATTTGTCCACTCTCCAAATTGGAAGTGAAAAGTGCTATAGATATAAATGTCCCTCATAGAAATCTTATTGCCTACCAGGTCTTCTGCCATGGATTGAGCTCCAATATCAATGGAGAGGCTGCTGAGTTGAGGAGGATTTTGAAATTCACGATAGAAAGTCCCTAGGTCCATGGGGATAATGTCGTCTTTAGAAAATGCTGGCTTCTGGAATTCAAATGGAAGATTTAAGTCAACTATGCACAAGCAACAAAATGTAAAATAGGTATCACTCATTTTGAACTCTTGCCTGTTGAAAAGAAGACAAACAAGTAAAAATTGTTTAACATACTATATGTCAATGTTTCATCTTACGGTACCGCTATGTATTAGATTATTAGATTTCCTGGAATAGAGAGATAGAGGAGACATCTTAACAAGTGTTAAGTATAAGAAACTAGATTGGGAGACACAAAATCAGACCTAAATCCTAGCAAGACGGAACTGATGTTCATCCAGAAACATCTTAATCTCTTAAAGATATCAGCTCCAGTTTTAGCTCTGAATCAGGCCACTCTCCTGGATTTTCACATCCTGCTTGAACAACAGATAGAGCCTGTGGCAAGAACTTTGGCCAGCTTCAGCTGGTATGTCTGTTATGAATTTATCTGGACCAGGAAGCACAGGCAACAGTTATATGCCTTTATCATCATATGATTAGACTACTACAAGCCTATTCGTCCTTTGAAGATGACATGGAGAGATAGTTGATACAGAATACCATGACAAGTTATACCAGAATAGAATTAATGCCCAATCTACAATTGCTGCACTGGTTGTCAGTACAGTAGCTTCAATGCACAGTTTAAAGTATTGGTTATTATCTATATAGCCCTACGTGGCATGGTACTAGGTTACCTCAGAGCCTGCCTTGTCCAAAAATTAGATTTTTTTTTCTATGAGGCCATCAACAGATCTGCTTTCAATCCTGCCACCATATAAAGTAATGGATATATAGGTCCAGAGACAGGCCTTGTCAGATACATCCCCAATATTAATGGGTTACCCCAGGGATTTAATTAGTGCTTTCATTCTTGGTTTTTTGGAAATTGCTAAAAATATACCCTTTGAACTGGCCTTCTAGCCATTTTTAATAGTTATTGAAGGTGAAGGGTCACCATCTATTGTACTGAACTTTTTAATTGTATGAGCCTGAGCTTAAAAAGCTAATGAACTGCCCAGAATTGTGTGACTGTGATAGTATATACATTTTGTTACGTAAATAAAATCATTTAATACTATGCTGCAATAAACCAGTAATTTTCTCTTTGTTTCTTTTCTTCCTTCTAGGTACCATTTTGGGATACACATAATCCTAGTCTCTCATTGTTATTTTTAATTCACTCCAGGTCTGCTCACTGTTTCATGAGTCTTTTAAAAATGAAAATATAACTGTTGTATTGCTGTAGGTTTTGCTTCAAATATGTATCAGCTATCAATAGATTTCTCTCCCATTCTTACTTTTCCATAGTATCTATTAATCGCTTGATAAAATATTTTTTCCCATATTATTCTGAACTTTCGGAAAGAACAAATTTTGATTATAAATTTAAAAATATTTTGATTTTGTAATATGCTATGGTTGATTTCCGAATTGTTACATTTTTTGTTAAAGGCATCCTTGTAGGTATTTCCTTTGCTCATACCAGAATGTATTCTGGATAATGAAATAAACTTTTGGCAGTAATTTTTGGTTTGCAAAAATTAGGACGCACAGCTTTTGAATTATCTACTAACAATGCAGTGGTCTACAAAGCTATATTTATTCAAAGAGTTTAATTAATTATTGTGATCTTAATTTAGCATTTGGTTCCAGAAGGGCTTGGAAAAAAAAACTCCTGTATTTCCTATAACAGTGATGGCAAACCTTTTAGAGACTGAGTGCCCAAAGTGCAACCCAAAACCCACTTATGCATCGTCGAGTGCTGGGTGGGTGTGGCCTGTTGGCTGGGTGTTGCCAATTGGGTGGGCGTGGCCAATTGGGTGGGCATGGCTGCAGTGGTAATGGCAGACTGGGTGGGACTAAAAAGTTCAATCAATCAGTTCCAACTTTGCAAGATCTTTTTTTTTCCCGCGAGAAGTTGAAACTGATTGAACCTTTTTTTTTTTTTTTTTTGCACGTGGTGGCAGAAGCCTAAAGCAAAAAGGTTTTATAAAGCCCAGCTGAAAGCCTAGGACTGGGGTGTGCCCACAGAGAAGGCTCTGAGTGCTGCCTCTGGCACCTGTGCCCTAGGTTCGCCACCACTGTCCTATAATAATTCATTTTTGTATTGGAACATGTTATGGCCATTCTAGTAGGAGTTCATATATTTCTGGAAAGCAATCTTCTGGAATAGAAAATTATCTGAACTATCACAGATGTGATTCAGTTCCAAAATAGACTAGGGATTTTACTCCAGGTAGAACCCCATGAATTACTTCCTGATCTGGAAGATTATTGGGATAAACAAAATCCCAACTGAGGAACTACCAATGCAGACAAATAACCTAACAGTAAACAACAGCCTAATCAAGGAACCGCCAAGAATACTTCCACCAACATTGACAGGACAAGCCACTAATGTATAAAAATAAGAGCAAACCCCTTCTAGCACTGATGATGCTACCTAGTTTGGCAATGAAATGTCTACAAGTAAACCACCAAGCTCAGAGAGCACCAAGGACCCCACAGATTCACCAAAGAGATTGAAGTTTCTTGGAAGAAAACTTTCCCCCCAATACCAGAGCATGGAGTTTTAAATACGAGTTACTTGTGTAATGAATGTAAAGTGTTGTATGGACTTACAAAATCTATCATAACAAAATCATCATGGATATTCCCACTGCTGCTGCCACTGGAACCAACTGAGTGTAGGCTACCTTGTAAGGGAGACTCTGTGTCTGGAGAATCAGGAGGATTTACCTGTTGAAGAAATTCAAATGTCTAATTAACATAATCAAGTCCTGATGTGCAAAATTAAGCAGAAACAAGAAGTTATCTTTGCAGACAGAAATTATAGGCAGGCCTGGCATTCAGGAGCCACAATTCTGACTGCAATTGTATAGAACCGAGAAAGGTCAGCAGTTCTTACCATGGGATCGTTATCTTCTAGTTCAAAGCTTTTGGGAGCAAATATTTGAAAAGGAATGTCCAAACTGGCCATTGTCACCTAAAGAGGTTCAAAAGACAGAATCTCAAATGTCTCCTGACAAATCCTACTGTTTCTGCCAGGATGCAATATATTGCTGCACATTTTCATGCCTACAGCCCTAAAACTGGTCAGGACAAATTTGGAGATTAGAGAAAGCCAAACACAGCCATCTGGAATGGCATTTCTCCTGTGTGATGGGAAAGGTCATGCCTTGTGTTTCACTTCTGAAGCCATATGCAAGCAGTGAACTAAAGCAATTACCTGGCTGATGGGCTTGTTGACAAAGGCTCCCACCTTTCGAACAAAGAAGGTCTCCAAGGCATCACGTGGAGATCCGCTCTTTCCTTCACTGCTGTTCGATACAGTTTCTGGATCCTCACTGAACGTTGAAAGAGAAAGCGGGTGTAATTATTATTATTATTATTACATTAGAGATATACAGCCACTGGTACAAAGCACTACATACAAAGTACATATTTTTCCTAATTATCCTTTCTAGCTTTTTGCTAAAGGTATATATAATACTTACCACAGAATTAAAACTTAGATTTTAAAGGTGTTCTGGGTACTCAACCAATGACATAGTTTTTATCTGAAACAGTTATGCTTTATCTTCTAGCATCAGTCTACTCATTACACATACACATACACACACACACACACACACACACACAAAGACACAGGTTTCCTCAACATTGACTAGTTGTTATCAGCAGCAATAAACTTCCATCCTTCCAAGGTAGGTAAAATGAGGACCCAGATTGTTGGGGGCAATGTAATATATATATATATATATACATTGCTTACTGGTGTACACCGCTTAGAGAGTGCTTGCACTTAAAGCGGTATATAAGTCTCATAAATAAATAAATAAATAAATAATGCAACATTTTAAAAATTGAGGTAGTGTAGTTAGGATTAAGACAGCTTTCTCTCCTCCCCCCCCCACTGAAGTATTTTTTTCAAAGAGTGGAGAGATCTCCAAAGGGAAGAGGCAGGGTCTAAAGGTTTTGTTCCTTTTCTGGCACTTAGTGGCATTGGCATAATCTAACAAGAATGAGTTTTAACAATTAATATTGTTAGAGTCTGAGAATTATGCTATCTTCCCATGTGGGTGCTACTTACAGGAAATGTAGAAGAAAACTGGAAAAAAAAAACCCCAGAAAATTCCTAGAAAAAATTAGGAACTTCAAAGGATGATGTTAAGCCTTTCTTCCAAAGCTACTAATCCACACAACAAATGCCATTAATTCTCAAACAAATTCAATTTTGCTTTGTAAAAGTCATAAAATAGACCATTAAGGAAAGTTAAATACCTACCTACTTGATGGAGTAACTGCCGAATAGTGGCCTCCATCCAGGGGAGTGCATGTCATTATTTTCTCATGATCTGCCTGGGTGCCATGCATCGGTTGGCTAGGAATCAGGGGCACTCCTCCCTCCTTTCCTGGAACTACCAACTAGAAAGTACAAAGATCAAACTTGTTATTTTTGAAGTGATTTGGGAAAAGAGGGTTTGTTTTTCAATTAAAAGTTATGGAATCGATGACATACTTTGGCTACTATGGAAGAAGCAGTGTGCCTTGTTTCTCAAGAACTTGAATGATTTCTACCAACAGGCAAAGGCTTGAGGAAGAATTTCAGTCAAATTTATAGGAAAGTATAGAGGGAGAAGAATTAAAGTAGATCTAAATGTAAGTCAACGACTTGAACAATTGACAGCTGCCCTGAATTCCCTGTAGCAGTTTTTACTTTTTTTTTTTTTGGCTTACTGTCAGAGAATCTTCAAACTTTTTTAGCAAGCAGAACTGAGCTGTTTCTCAGAGTATACATTAAAAGTAAGATACTTTGTACCAGAGCAACATTTTAATGAGAATATCTTGTAATACTTATAAATTTTACTCAATGCGCATGGATTTATATCTTGCCCCATTTTCATGGTCACTTAAAACATTCAGCTATAGCCACACTGTATTAAATATGACTACAGTAGATGTGTCTTCCACTTTTTCGAGCATCATATAAAATAATCCACACTTCTAAAAGTTAAGCAAAGAAGGAATGATCAAAGTTCCATAAGGTGTTTGTCAAGTATCCAAGAAGAAATGAAATTCTATAATTCTGAGATGCAAATCAAGAATGATAGATTCAGATGCAATTGATGAAATCAGAAAAAAACAGAAGTTCTCACTTTAGTGCAATAACATATATATGAATAAATCTGAACTGCATATTAATTCTCTAGGTCAGGGGTGTCAAACTCCCGACCCACGGGCCGGACGCGTCACACGGAAGCCGCACCCACCCCATTGCCAGCAATGGCAAAACTGTCCTGATATGTTGCGCGACGTCACGTGATGTCGCGAGTTTGACATGCCTGCTCTAGCTCCTCACTTTAAAAAGAATGCTCATTAAAGCCTTATTTCATGGGAATCCCAAAAACAATGTTAGTGTTCTTTGTTTTTTTCAACTACTCTCCTGTTTTCTTTGCCAATATGGGACAAATAGAATAAGTTCAGAAAAAGTGTTAGCTGTCAATGAGACACATTTTAGAGCAGCAAACCTCTAAGAGTACCTGATGGGGATGTGTAGCACTCAAGCCGCCAGCAAAGACTACTGGGTAGCCCAAGTCAGCTGATCCAACTCCCAAGGCTGCAGGCTGATAAGAAAGACGAGAGCTGGAGAGCTAAGAAATAGGGGTGATGAGGAAAAAGAAGAGAAAGGGAAACCCCAGAGTCTGAATAATGTTTAGATATACAGGAAAGGAAAGAAAAGGAAATCAGGTTTCCAAAATAAAATGGCTAGTCTGTTTCTAATACTCTCTCTCTCACACACACACACACAAAAAAAGTTAAGCTAGTTTCCATGGAACTTATGACTGATATTCAGGATTTTTAAGGGCTAATTAAAGAAATGACTTTCATATAGTTTGAAAGTTAAAGAATGCTATAGTCCAGCATTTAACATTTTAAATAAGGAAACAATCTGTGCAAATGACAGTACAACCATTGCTTTGACAGAAGCTTACCAAAAGAATACCGTGTTAGATAATTATCAGTCATATGCCCCAGAAAATATTTTGAATTTCAGCCATAAAATGCAAAGTTTGCAAAGCAGAACTTCTAGTCATCAGAGGGGAAATCTTAGCCTGCACCAAAATTAATATCGGAGACATTTCATTGCATCTATTAAAATAATTAGGAAACACACAAAAGATGGGCAGAGGACAGAACTGATACTTAGTTTGTATTAAATCTCTTACTCTTGACTTTCCAGAATATGTATATTCCAGATTCTATGAAAAATAAAGTTTGGAATTAAAACTCTCATATACATATATGCACTAATTTGCATAGTATGTTGCATTACACACCTGTTGTGAGCATTGTACATATGATTTCCCAGCTAAGGAAAATATGCTTGTGTGTATGTTTATGTGTGCATCTCTATGTGTAAGTGTATCATTATCCCAATTAGCACTAGTAAAGCAAATGACAGGAAACCTGAACTCTTTTGGATGCTGTTGGATGGTAAATCCTATAATCTATAACTCCATAGGTACCATCTCTATATTAACGAATCAGATTTGTATTGTAGGAGGAGATTGCTGTAGTGACTAATAGAAAGGTGTTCTGCCATTGCTTTTTTTTTTTTTTTTGGCAAGATGTTTTTTTAACTACTCATTCAAGCCCAGAGTGATGAGATTTCTTGAATTCCAAGCACTCTCAGTTCAGCTTCTTTTTTAATTCTTATTCACCTCTATCCAAGCTGCATTCTTGTTATATTTTTTGAGAAATCCCCATAGTTGAGCTTAGAACTGCATTATTTCTTCTTTGTCAGGTGTGGACTGTACAGTACAGTACAGTTTCTCCATGGATGACTTGGTAGAAATGTTTCCAATTCAGCTGAAATGTGAGATTCTACCTATAATATTCAATTCAAGCTTCATATCTGCTGATTTTCTTGGCTATTGTTATTTGACGCTGAATTATTTCCATTGTTTTTTTAATCTTCCTTGTTTCTAAGTAATATTTCTTAATTAGATATTCTTTGGTCATTTTGTTCTTCAGCTTCTTTTAACCATTCCAGTTTGCTTGCATCTGATTTTAGCATATTGATCTTATTTTGCAGCCTAATCTTCCATTTTGGTAGTGCACTGTTTGGCTTTTCTTCTTGTTGATTCCCCCCCCCCCCAAGGTATTCAGTTACAAATACAACTGTGCTGTACATTAGTTGGTTTGTTTCTTGCAGTGAGCTGGCATTTATAGTTGATATTGCTGTATTGACATCTTTTAATATTTGTGTTAGCTCTTTCTTTGGAACAAGTTTTAATTGTTCACAGGCAGCCTTATTCCATTGTTTTTGTGCTGTTCTAGATGTTCAATTATTTTTTTGTTTCAATTCTTCTTGTTTTTTAACTAGAGGGCTTTTTTTAATTCTGTGAAGGAGGTATCTGGTGTTTGGGAACAAAAATGATTTAATAGCTATCCTGGCTTCTTCTAGCTCCAACTTCCCCTGGTTTGCCTCTACAGTCTGAGCTACTTCTGGAAGGCTTCAATTTTTTTGCCCGTGGTGGACCTTATAGTTATTCCAATTCTGCTTCTGTGAATATTTTATTTCACATTATAAATCAACATTCATCGGCAGCCTCTGTTTGGTTATTTCTGATTCTGGATTTTTTTTTCCAGAACTAGTACTGTACATTCTTTTCAGATATCCTCTTCTCATTGAATTTTATTTGTAATAATAGATCACTATTTCAATCTGGGTATATTTGCGATGGGTAAATAATTTTTCTTCCAATAGTCCTGCAACTGCTGGCTCTGATTCCTTAGCCAACATCTTGAGTCCTTTACCCCATTTTTCACCAGATGTCCATGAACTTCAACATCTAGCACAGTCCTTGTTGACCAAGGTGACACCCAATCCAGTATGGTTCCTGTAAATTACATCTCACCATATTGCTAATGGGAGAGGCACTCATTAGTATTATGAGATTTTTTAAAATCCCACTATTTTTTAATTTGACCAGTGCAAGACAGCATTGAAAATGATGATTCTCCCCCTCCCCCCCGCAGCATTTATTTTGTCAAGGAGTATGATTAGCATAATCATCTGCACAACCATACTGTTTCCTTATACTTTCATTACAGGTATGGCAGTCTTTCATTTATGACCCTAATGGAATTTGCTACATGACTATCTCATTTAATGGTCCCCTTCCCTATTGCAGTCGTTAAGTAGAGAATGGAGTACCTCAAAGGGTGGGGGAGGCCTGGGGAAGCCCAGAAGTGGACGTTATTTTGGGAGCAGCCACAATTTATGGGCTGAGCCACATGGCTTAGGAATGCCAAGGGATGAAGTGGCCTGCTTACCTTTTCCAACATGATCTCCAGAGCTTTGGAGATCTGTATAAGGTAAGTGAATGGTTAGGGATGGGGTAGGGAAGAGGGAGGAGGGGCTGGGATCCAGCAGGGTGAGAAGCAGGTCCAAGGCCTGCAGAGTGCTACATTTACGGTCATTGAGTTAGAATTATGGTCACATGACATTTCGCTTAACAACCATTTCATTCAACAACCAAGATTCCCATCCTAATTACGGTCATAAGCCAAGGACTATCTATATAAAACAGAAAATATCTTATCTGTATTATGATTGGAATTATAAATGGATCCTCTTAGCAATGGCCTACCTTTCCCTCATCCTCTTGCTATGCTTTTTCCCAGGCTCAGCAGCAAAATTTCAAATAAAACCTCATATACCATAACTCTCAATCAATTCTTAGTGTCTCTTTTCCTCTTTTTGGAGGAGGAAAAAATATAATAGGCATGACTGTGACAAAAGCTGGAACCCCCAACCTACAGTTACAAGATTTTTTTTAAAACTCACTTGATGTGAAAAGGCCAGCCCCATCATAGGGCCCTTCAAGGTATCCATCACCACAGGAGGAGGGGTATGAAAATGTGCTTTAGTGACAGTAAATACACACTATACAAAGACAGGAACACACAAAAGAAAACACACAAGGAAGAGAAAGAAAAGAACTTCAGAAAGAAAAATGGAAAAGAGTTTGATGAACTGAATGTTATGTCCAGACAGATATTGGAAATCTTCATATAAAAAATTGCAAGGCACCATGATTTGCAAGAGATTTAGCATTTCATTGTTGTATTTTCCAAATTAATCTCTTTTTAATGCTATGTTGCATTCGAGAATTCAGTTTAGATCAGGAAAAAGATTTTGCTGCAAATACATGGGCCTTCTAAGGATTATTGGTAACAGCAGAGAGGAGGAAAGATCAATTCAGTCAAAACTATCAAATATTCCAATGAGCACAACCACCTCTATCTGCACTAGCTTAAAAGAATGCAGTTCCAATGAAGACAGGAGACAGGCATATGCAGAAGGGATGGAATGGGGAAAGAATGAATTGTGCCATTGAAATCACGATACAAACCCTTATATATTTGCATCCAATATAAACAGATAATGGGTGGGGTTTCTGGTTTTCCATTTAAAGTGGACATATAAGACGACAGAGCGAAGTTTTTGATCACAAATTTTATAACTTTTATAATTATAGCCAGAAGAGATGTCTTTTCATATTAAACATAATTAAGACAATGGCAACACCAGATTCAGAACATCTTAAGAAGTAACTCTTGTTAAATGTTGATGGTCAATTAATTATTCAAGAAATTGTCTACAAGACAGAATTTACAGAATGCTCTAAATCAGGTATGATTTGACATTGTATAATAAGCTGGGGAAATGGGGATAAAAAAATCAGCTATAACTCATACTCAGCAGAATATTTCCCCCCCTAAAATGACTATATAATCAATTACATGCAACCTAACTTTCTCCCAACAACAACCAGCAACACTGCCATTAAAGAAGAACTGAAACTTATTTCCATGCCAGTTTTAAAACTAAGCCTTATGTCTTGATTTTTAATCCAAATGTTTTGCAGGAGTATCTGCCAAATTATGTATAGAATTTTTAAAAATCTGAAAATTACAGATGGATAAAAAGATTAGACTGTATATATGTTATCATCAATAGATGGTCATCAAGCTTGAACTGAACCTATTTTTTTCATACATCTATACTCTATTCTTATTAATTAAAAATACAACCTCTTGGTATATATGCATTAAGGAAGTGTATTCTGATCAACGTCTGTCAGTGTTTAGTTGTCATGCTCTTCATTTTGTATATATTTAGCAATTTTTTTGCTATCAGCTAGTCACACTAGGAAACGCCTAAATTGATTTGGAAAAACAACTTACCTGGGATGGGGGAGAAGTAGAGAAAGAGGTTGTGCATACTTCTTGAGAATCTTCTACTGATGGATATGCCACTGCATTTTCTTCACCTGTTCTGTAACAATCAAAAGATACATTTTTAAAAATGGAAATGTTTAATGATAGCTAAGCAAAGGTTCTACGGATAAACACACCACAGACATGAACTAGAAGATTTGGGTGGAGTTGAAAGGAGAATTATGACAGAGCTCACTCTTTCCTTTAAAGAGTGGAACTGGTAGGGTGGATCTAATAATTTTGGATTTTATGTGTTCATAATTTTTCCCTGGAAAAGAATGAAATATTTTCTTAGTTTTGTCTTTTGTTTTTTAAAAGGAAGGTTTTACTGATAAATTCATTTCAATGCTATTAGTTGTAGAGATGTACAACTAATGTAGTGTCAGAGCTTCACAAAACGCATTTCTAAACACTGCGGTTCTGGCCAATGAAGAAAATATTAACTCAGGAAAGGTTTTTTTTTTTTAAAATAGGTCATCTATTAAAATATGTTTGAATTATGCATGCTTTACTTATACTATCATAAAATCATGCAAACAGCAATTTGTAAAACAAGTGCCAAGTTGTTTGTCAAAAAAGAAATTATTTTCATTCTGCACTTTATTCTGGAAAAATAATTACAATCCCAAGATTTTTCATTGACTAATGTGATATCTGGAATGGATGTGTCTTAAAAATTTTCTCATTCTATCCATTCAATTCTAATAGTGTGAGAAATTCAGGCTTTTTCTGCATACTACACTTCAATTAAAGTGGTGAGCAAGACTCACATAATTTTCTCTACCCGGCAATGTAAGCTGTAAAGGCTCTATACCTGGGATAATTGCCTCCACTATTCATGATTCCTCTTTCCTCACCTGTAATTGCAGGGATGCATGGGTGAGGAGCTGGGGTAGGGACGGTCCACAAAGTGATCAATGATAATCCCCATGATAGGTGGGGTCCTCTCAAACTGCCTGCAAGGCAATAAGTAATAAGCAAATTGTATTATTCATAGGACTGTTCTTTTTATTTTACAACTTGTTCTGACAGCCGTACTGCTCTTTTGGGTAAATTTATGGGGAGCAGAGCATCACCACAATTCAACCCTGCAACTCCACACATAAATAAGGAACTTGCTCAAAACTTAACACTACCAATATCAATCTGCCAAATCCAAGTAACTCAGATTGTCAGGCTTAAAGAAGAATATCCTAGAAGAGATTATTTAGTTTGACTAAGAAGTCCTCACCTGGTAGACATGAATGCTAGGTTGATTCTGTAGGCACATGACAAAGTGATTGTGCCTAGTGGAGTACCAACTGTCCCAACTCGGACTGTCTGAAATCCTACACAGGCAGAAGAGAAATGATCATTGTCTCAACTACTCTTTATGTTAATACTTGTCAACCACAAAAATAAAATGATTTGCTACTGCTCTATTCTTAGCTGAGCACACCAATAAAAGTGAAGTCCCCAAGGTGATGTCCATGCAGATCACCCTTTGTGTTCATCAGTCTCTACTGTTCTGCCTCATTTTTAATGTTAGTGCAATATGGTTTGTGGGAAACTAGTACAGTGACAAGCATATCTCTAGACACTATCTGAAACCCATTTCAGATAGTGGAACAGAAAACTCAAGAACAAGCCTGTTATTTGGAAATTACCACTACCTTGTACTTAGCTATAGACCTTGAGAAGCTGCTTTTATTTTAACCTTACCAATTTACTTTTTCAGAGATGATACTCTACTTTGTGACTATATCCCATAAAAGTAATTTTACTATTATGCTTATGATACACTCAAAAGAGATTGATGCAAACTATCAGTTTCAATTCTTCACCAATCTCTTATAAACAAACATCCATCCATCTATGCATGTTTCTTTTCTAAACATGTGACTCTGTCTATAATTGCTCATTTTTATTTTCTACAGTCTGTCAATACTGATAGTAAAAAAAGCCTAGATCTAAATTTTTTGATACTCAATCATACCTTCTCCCAAGCCATTCAGTTGCACTTCTCCAAAGTATACCCTACAACAGATAGGTAGGCAAAAAAATTATATACATCATATATGTTGATTCAGGATGCAAGGCAGAGATTAAATTTTATTTTTTATTCTTAATGTACAATGACTCTACAACCCTTGATCTGGTCACTTTTTGATCTTCTGTGAACAAGGAACATAAAATAACCATAATATCTACTAATGTCAGCATTAAAGGAAATAAGAATCATGGCAAAATTAGAACATATGATATTATTATTGGCACAGAATCTAGACAACAACAAAAAAAGAATCAAAAGAAATATAGGATCAAATAAATTCCTGTAACAAGGTTTTGGTCTAAAACCCCACTGATATATTGTCAGTTTTAATTGATAGACCCTAGGACACAACAATAACCAACAAAAATTCAAAGTAGTAGCAACCAATTGATTTTGAGGATAATAAGAAAAACTAGGAGCCAGCCAGATCATTTGTATTCTGTCTGAAACTATAGTTTTATTGAGGCCATTCATTAAATGCACATGTAGTGTGGAAATATAAATCATATAAGAATATTTTACTAGTTAGACCAGGCAACTGGCAATAAGTATAGCAGATTAACTGGAAAATACACAGTTGCACAATAATATCAGACTATTACACTTTTATTTGCCCGTTAGATTTCAAAAAGCTTCCCCATGTTAATACATTTCAGTTGCTTTAAACAGGAAGTTTAACCTACATATTTAGCCAGTTACATGTTCAAGTGATGAAATTACTGACATTAAGATTGGATTAAATGAAATCAGTGATATTCAGCTTGGATTAACATAATTTCTTTTAAATTCTCTCTCCTTTTAAGAAAACACAACACAGCAATATACTTTTGGAGTTCAATAGATCTATGAGCTTATAGTTGAAAATAGGGTATATAGTTGATTTCAAAATTATTCCATTCTTGGTTATCATTAATATTACCATATTTTCCGGCATATAAGACGACCCCTGACTTTTGAGAAGATTTTCATGGTTTAGAATCTAAACCAGTGGTTCTCAACCTTCCTAATGCCGCGACCCTTTAATACAGTTCCTAATGTTGTGGTGACCCCCAACCATAAAATTATTTTTGTTGCTACTTCGTAACTGTAATTTTGCTACTGTTATGAATCGTAATGTAAATATCTGATATGCAGGGTGTATTTTCATTGTTACGAATTGAACATAATTAAAGCATAGTGATTAATCACAAAAACAATATAGCAATGCTCGCTGGAGAAGCTTATTCTTCCTTGCTCAAAAATGTTGGGAGGGAGGGAAGGGTAAGGAAGGAAGGAAGGAAGGAAGGAAGGAAGGAAGGAAGGAAGGAAGGAAGGAAGGAAGGAAGGAAGATTGAAGGGGAAAGGAAGGAAGGAGAAAGAGATTGAAGGGGAAGGGATGGAGATGGAAGGAAGGAAGATTGGAGGGGAAAGGAAGGAGATTGAAGGGGGAAGGAAGGAAGGAAGGAAGGAAGGAAGGAAGGAAGGAAGGAAGGAAGGAGAGAGAGATTGAAGGGGAAGGGATGGAGATGGAGATGGAAGGAAGGAAGGAAGATTGAAGGGGAAAGGAAGGAGATGGAGAAGGAAGGAAGATTGAAGGGGAAAGGAAGGAGATGGAGAAGGAAGGAGATTGAAGGGGAAAGGAAGGAAGGAAGGAGAAAGAGATTGAAGGGGAAGGGATGGAGATGGAAGGAAGAAAGGAAGGAAGATTGGAGGGGAAAGGAAGGAGATTGAAGGGGAAAGGAAGGAAGGAAGATTGAAGGGGAAAGGAAGGAGATTGAAAGGGAAAGGAAGAAGACTGAAGGGGAAAGGAAGGAGATGGAGAAGGAAGGAGATTGAAGGGGAAAGGAAGGAAGGAAGGAGAAAGAGATTGAAAGGGAAGGGATGGAGATGGAGATGGAAGGAAGAAAGGAAGGAAGATTGGAGGGGAAAGGAAGGAAGGAAGATTGAAGGGGAAAGGAAGGCGATTGAAAGGGGGAGGCGCTGCCAAGGACGCACAAGCAGCTCCCGGTCTGACCGGCTGGCCTCCGACGCACATACGCAACCATATAATAACTAGTTTAATGAAAAGAAGGACGAGGGGGGACATGATAGCAGTGTTCCAATATCTCAGGGGCTGCCACATAGAAGAGGGAGTCAAGCTATTTTCCAAAGCACCTGGAGGCAGGACAAGAAGCAACAAATGGAAACTAACCAAAGAGAAAAGCAACCTAGAACTAAGGAGAAATTTCCTGACAGTTAGAACAATTAATCAGTGGAACAACCTGCCTCCAATACTGAATGCTCTAACACTGGAAGATTTTAAGACGAGATTGGACAACCATTTGTCTGAAATGGTATAGGATTTCCTGCCTAAGCAGAGGATTGGACTATAAGACCTTCTATTCTATTCTATTCTATTCTATTCTATTCTATTCTATTCTATTCTATTCTATTCTATTCTATTCTATTCTATTCTATTCTATTCTATTCTATTCTACTCTACTCTATTCTATTCCTCTTAACAACAATAGAATTTATGACATTTACAAAATGCTCAATTATTATTCCTATCATATTATGAAATATGCTTAAAATAGCATGGATCCCAATTAGTAAAGGAATTAAGTTGCTTTAATTTTTCATTCACTAAAAGAATAAACTAAATCTCTGATATCTTTGTAAATTAATCATTGATTGAGTGATTATTTGCCATCAAGACATTTTTGAGTCCTAGAGACCATAATGATTTAAAAACCAAAAAAGAGGAAAGATTATTATAGGACAAATGAACCTATAATTGTTGAGAAATACATGGAATTATGAAATAGTTTAGATTTGTTAAAATAATTTCCAAATATTTATAGAATTCTTGAATCCACTGCTATCATGCTGGCTTGTTAATATTATGTAATGAGATTTTATAACATTGCACTAAAGATAAAAAAAGAAGGAAAAAATATATGCAACTTATTTTGTTCATTTTTTATTTTATGGGTTATGCATAGAATTATAATTTGAATAATAAGATTAAGAAGCAAAACTGCTAAGTTAAAAAACGGTCTGTTTCCTATTTTGAGAAATTTTGAAATGAAATAAAATTTGTTAACTACATTTTGTCTAAGTTATGAAATACTGAAGAAACACAAAGAAAAATATAGCTATAAATCCAGATATTCCTAAATTGTACACATATTAGAAGAATGCAGTAAACCATCAATTATACATGAGAATCTACTTCTTTATTAAGGTAAGATTAACAGCAAATTAAAAAATTAAAAAAAGAGAGACCTATGCAATTATGTTAAAAAATCTGAGGGTGGATAAAAATAATGGAAACGCAAGAGCATGAAATATAAAACCTGATGCAGACAATACAGAATGTATTAGAAGTTCTATTTTCTGGTTCTAAGGATGATCAAAGTCAGTATTACCTGTACAATATGACATATTCATGACCTTGTTTCCTTGAGAGTCTGTAGGCTGGTGTCACCCTTGTTATAGCAAGCAAAGATTTCAGCAGTAGAGACAGCCTGTTATACACAGTGTAGGAAACTTTGGTTTCTTTATCACATCTACAAGCATAAATAAAAATAATTAGTCCAACATTCCAAGAATCGATAAGTTCTGAAATGAAGCAAATTTGAAATACAGATAGTCCTTGACTTATGACCATAATTTAGCCCAACATTTCCATTGCTAAGTCAGGCAGTTGTTAAGTGATTTTTACCCCATTCTACGACCTTTTGGCCACACTTGTTAAGTGGATCACTGCAGCTGTCAAATGAATCATGTGATCATTAAGCGAAGATCATGGTCGTCAGCAAACAACCTGTCAATTTACCACCAATAAATTCAGAAGGAATACCACTAGAAAAAGTTGAAAAGATCACACACCTCGGTTCCAATATACATGAAAGCTGGGACATGACTGTTGAAGTAAAGACAAGGATAGAAAAAGCTTGAACAGCAATCTTCAAAATGAAAAAGGTCTTCTGCAGTCATGACATAAGCCGAAGACTGAAAATCAGGCTTGTCAGATGCTATATTTTTTCTATCCTGCTCTATGGAGTAGAGAGTTGGTCTCTGACAGAAGAGACTAGAAGCATTTGAAATGTGGATTTACAGGCAGCTGTTACGTATAAGCTGGGTTGACAAGATCAGAAATGAGGAGGTGATAAGCCGCCTGGGACAAGGAAATCATCAAAACAATTAAAAAATGAAAATTAGAATATTTCGGATATGTGATGCGACACCCAGAAAAAAAAAGCATACTCCATTTAACCCTCCAGGGAAAGATTGAAGGCAGACGAGGTCCAGGCAGAAGAAGAACATCATGGCTTCAAAATCTAAGGGACTGGTTTGAACAAAACTCAGCAGCACTTTTTCGTGCAGCTGTTAATAAAAACAGGATCGCCAACATGATCACCAACGTCCGATAACGGATATGGCACAAGAAGCGAATCTGGCTTCCCCCCACTGAGTTTGCTTGTCAGAAGCCAGCTGAGAAGGTTAAAAATGGTGATCATGTGACTCCAGGATAGCGCAACTGTCATAAATACATGCCAGTTGCCGAGTGCCTGAATTTTGATGACGTGACTGTGACAATGCAGCAAGAGTTGTAAATGTGAAAACTAGTTCTAAGTCTCATTTTTCAGTGCTGTTGTAACTTTGAACAGTCATTAACAAATGGTTGTAAGTCAAGGACTATCTGTACTGAACTATCATTGTAAAAAAATAAAACTATAGATTATACTTTTACAGAATTCAAAGCAAATTAATATATCTATGGATTTTGTGTAATACACCAATTAATTCTATTTCAAATGAAAATATTTGCTTCTCAAATATCAGAGAGGAACAATTAATTAAGTAATAATTAATGCATTCATCCATGAATACCGTAAAGTTATAAAGAAATGGATGCATATTTGGAATAATTTACAGTTATCCCTTATGGGCAGAATTGCAGTTATTAAAATGAATGTCCTGCCAAAGTTTATTTTTTTGTTCCAAATGTTACCTATCTTAAAGAACGAACGTAATTTAGATGAATGGCAAAAAGGTATTAATAAATTTGTTTGGGCAGGGAAAAAACCAAGGGTGAAACTTAAAATAATGCAAGATTTTCGTGAGAGAGGTGGACTCAAGGTACCAAATATGAAATTGTATTATTATGCTGTAGTATTGACATTGATTAGCGACTGGGTGAATTTAACAAATACAGAAATACTTCATTTGGAAGGCTGGGACCTACTTTTTGGATGGCATGCCTATTTAATATTTAATAAAAAAGTGGATTGGGTTTTTAAGTCTCATATTATAAGAAACTCTTTGCTAAGAGTGTGGAGAAAGTATTATAAAAGTGACTTCAAAATACCATTATGGGCTATACCTCGGCATGCCATAGAAGGTATAAGGAAAGGGGTAAATATGGACAAGGTCTCTTACGTACAGTTATTAAGATGGGATGGCCAAGACTGGCAGTTAAAATCTTTGGAAGAATTAACACATGAAAACTTAACTTATTCATGGTTCCAATATAGACAAATAGTGGATAGATGGAAGATGGATTGTAAAATGGGCTGGCTTAGAGAAGATGGAATTTTTTTAAAACAAGTAAGAGATCACAGGCCAACCCATATTAAGAGAGTTTATGGGGTTTTAGTGGAATTAGATTCAGAACTTGAACTAGTTAAAGATTGTATGATTAAATGGGCACAGAATATTTGTGAAACGATTTCAATGGATACTTGGGAACTTATTTGGATAAGAAATGTTAAATTCACACAAGCGCAAAATTTAAGAGAGAATTTTTATAAGATGTTTTAGAGATGGCACCTTGACCCAAAGAAAATGTCCATTATGTACCCTAATCTACAGCCGAAATGCTGGAGATGTGGATATTTGGATGCTACCTATTACCATATTTGGTGGACGTGTAAGCATATAAAAGCTTTTTGGATTAAGATATGGTGGAATATTCAAAAAATTTTTAAAAGAAGGGTAAAATTTACTCCGCAATTATTTTTATTAGGTATTGTTATTGACTGTGATGCTAAGGAGGTTATATTGATGTTAAATTTGATTACAGCCGCTAGGTTGTTAATAGGACAATATTGGAAGAAGGAATCTTTGCCTACTTAACAAGAATGGTTTCATAAAGTTTCGTATTTGGCAGAAATGGCAAAGATTTCGGCTTTCTTAAAGGAGCAATCTCAAGAAAAATTTTTTGCGGTATGGGAAAAATGGATAAATTTTATACAACATAATTTGGATATGGAAAAATATTATTTAGCCTTTTTATAATTTGTAATGATTGTTTTTTCTTTCTTTCTTTCTTCTTTTTCTTTTTTATATATATACATTTTTAATGTATTATTATTCATATATTTTTTTTTTTTTTATATATATATATGCTTTATTTTTCGTCTACTTTCTTCTTTCTTCTTTCTCTCTCTCTCTCTTTTTATTTTTTATTTTTTTTCTTTTTTAGTATATATTATTCATTTTAAAGTTTATGTTATGTATATTATTATTATATATATTATTACTGTGATTTTTATTATTATTATTAATTATTTTATAAATTGCAAATGTTATTTTTAAAATATTTGTTAAATAATCCTATATTCAGTTCTGGGAAGTCGGGGGGGGGGTGGGGTGGTTGGGGAGGGGGGGGTGGATTTTTATTTGTAAAACTTTTGAAAAATTTTAATAAAAAAAAAAAAAAAAAAGAAATGGATGCATATTACAATATATCTTTGTTTGATACAGAATACATAAAACAGTTTCTTCCACATTGTTTATAAATTAGAATAGGATATGTTTGGGGAATGTGGAAATGGGCTATTTTTAATTTGGATGCACCAGAAAACAAAAAAGTTTGTTTTCTAATGCAGTGAAACTATGATTTACCAAATCCCAACTCAATGGACTTCATTTGCAATGGGGCCAAATTTTCACAGCAATTTATATCATTTGCATTTGATGATAGCATCACACAAATGTCATTGATGCAAATGAAGTAATTTGCATTATTTGGTTAATTACAGCATCATGCAAATAAGATGAATTTCTGCATATGGGGAGTTCTCATGTAATGACAACTGGACTTGGCAACTTGGTAATTAAGCAAAGTGGTCACTAAGTGAAATCACAACTCTTATGACTTTATTGCGAGAGATATTTTATCATCACAACCATAACTGTGAATAGCCACTAAATGAGGGAGCCACTAAGCAAGGACAACTTGTACATTTGTCAGAACGAATATTCCCTTCATCCCAATTAAAATGAAGCTCCATTCTATATTCATTCCTTGAACAGGAATGCAATATTAACTAATTACTATACCTATAAAGATATTATTATGGAATGGAATGAAGCTCACTGATGATAACAGATTTATCTAAATCCCATAACTTTTTGCAATACATAACTGTATTTAATGAAAAGGGAACTGTGAAATGAACAAATATTTTTAATTGGATAATTTGCAATACACTGTTGGAGTGCTAGCAAAATGCCTACCCTGGAAGACTGAGATCCCAATGCTTTATGCCACCATCTCCGGCCCCGATTACTTGCATTTCCACCTTCATCAATTTGCAGGGCTAGCAGGCTCTATTCTGCATTATTATTTTTAGCTTCTATGAAAGCTTACTGAGCTCATTTTTGCTCTTTAGACGTTCTTGAAAATAAAGATGTTCCTATAGACTGGCACCTTGACATACAATATGTCAGCTTGCCACTTTTTAATTGAAAGGGGATTTTTTTTTCCAAAATGTAAAAAGTCAAGCAAGCCATAAAGGGGAATGTCAGCAGAACAATAAGCATGCTTGGTACAATGCTGAAGACCTTAGTTTGAGGGTAATTATGCATGATACTGTTATCAATTTACCAATGTTTGAAAATGTGTAAATAGGAAACATCTAAGCAGCTGTAATAGAAGTGAAAAATATTTTACATATGAAACATTTCAAGACTGGAGCTGACCTTATTGGAAGAGTTCTGCCCTCAAAAAGAACCATTTTCAAATTCAGAAAGCCCTTTTGAATTCAGAACACGTCCACTAAGACTGAAACTGCACGGAAACATTTCATGTGAGTTGGAACAGCTTATTTTTACCTAAAATTGGGAAATACCTCGCATACTTTTATTTTGTATAATAAAATAACATTTGTAGCAAATTTAACTGATAAATTAATTATGATGGACATACTGGATGTAATTCATTTTTTTTACTACTTCTATGCACATTTTAAAATGTAAAGAAAAAAATGGGAACCAGTGTTTTGTTATTTATTTTTAACAAGAAGTCTCCTCTGCCCATTGGTTCTAGAGATTCACTAATATTAACTGTTTACATTCAAGCCTGTTGTTTCCATTATAGCTTTAAAACTGGTAAATGTGTTTGTTATTTGCATTGTTTCTCTTCTCACTTCTCTTTTCTTTTACACTATCCCTTTTAGGTTCCAAGCATCCTAGGGACAGGTAATGTCCTCTCTGTTATTGGTTGAATCTTTCCAATAGATTTTTTCCCCAGTAAAGATAAGAATGAAAATACTTTAAACAGTTACTTACTTTTCATTCATTTCTAAACACCAGATTTCCAGCTCCATGGAATCTCCCTGCCATGGAAAACAAAAAAGCATTTTAACCAAGCCTTTATAATGACAAACCTTTTACTTGTAAAAAAGGTACCTAGTACAGATGAGTCAATGGGTGTTGCTGAAAACAAGAAAAATGAAACTTTAGGCTGACTTAACATTAGTACAGTTTCCAAATTATGAAAAGTGATACCATCATATACCTGAAAGAATGTCACACAAAAGAAGCTCAAGTTTTGTCACTGCAGAATGCAGGACATAAAATAATGGATTGATAAAATGCGTGATAAAACTTGCCAAATTTCAATTAAATGGGAATTGGATCCTGGATTTTGGATGCACTCTGTAAGTTAGTCCATTTGAAGTACCTTGGTTCAAAAATTGTTGTCCCATTTCACCCAGTTAAAGATTATTAGAACCAGTATTTTAGTAGTAGATAAAATAGTTCTATCTACTATCTCATCATTTAAGGCAATTCCAAATAGAATTCCTGGAAAGAAGATCCTATGTGTAACAATATTTCAGTGATTTAAACAGAGCAGTTTCTGCTTTTTATATAAAAATGAAAATTATAATGCTGCCAGCAGTGGTTCACTTCAGCCCTCTCTGGTTAATCTTCACATGATTTGAAACCATGTAATAAAATCTGAGATGAAATTTAATAAGAAAAAAAATGGTTGGTTCAACTTATACCTCAGAGGTTTTAAGAGAAATTTCCACACACATTGAGCGCCCAACAGCAGGCAGCTGTCCTGCCAAAGCTTTTTTTGCTTCATGAGTAACTTCTGGTATGTCTTTGATTGCCAAGTTGAACTGTAAAATTAAGAATGTAGATTTTAATTTTCAGGAACCTACTTTAGAAACCTATTGTCTACCATACTGCAGAAATATGTATAATAAAACACAGTTTACAATAGATTAATCTCATAACTACAAAGCAAAATATCCTTTGCTGTCATACACTGCAGATTAATAAACGTTGATTTCCTCATACTATTGTAAAGAGAAAATATACAAACACACAGATATACACAAATCCCATTTGCTTTCACTACCCCTCTCTAGAGATCTTATATCAATCAGAAGATCTAATAAGAACTTGCAAAGGGGGGGGGGTGAATTGCTCAGATACGTTCTATATTTATACAACTACTTTTACAAGAGAAGGAAAGTAGAAATCAAGGGCATTTAATGTGGCAAAAGGAATGACACAACAGAGGGATTGATCTCAAAAATACTTTTTACCCAGTCAGAGCCTGTTGGGGAGGAGGATGAGCGAGTGCAGATTTTTTCTCCAAGTCGGGCCTGCACAATCACCTGTACGGTCTGAAAGACAAAGCATGCTTACTACACTGAGAAAAGACAAATAGTCAAAAAGTCAAGTAGAGAATATCATATTGAAAAGAAATTAAAGGAGGTACAAAAGCCAAATTATTCAACTGTTAAATATCAGAAGTCAGAAATATATGCATGCATTATTAATCGCTCAGATACTGAGCAGAACACTTTAGGAAATCATACAACTTTCCCTATATCTCTTAATCGTTTTATCTATAGTTTCTCTGAATTAGGGCTGTGCACTTCAAAAAAGCTTTTTGTTTATTTAATAAATTTATAGGCTGCCCATCTCATATGCATGACTTTGGGTGGCTAATTAAAACAGAATAAAGCAAGAATAAAAATGACAGAATTAAAAATGACAGAAATTTTGAAGAAGTTCTTCAGACTCTGAGCGAGTACAAGAGCCTCTAATGAAGAATTCACATTTTTATTACTTTATAGCTGAGGAAAACGGCCGGCCTCTTTAGGGTTGTTTTAACTTTAGCACTGAAATTCAGTATTCTGTTTTTAAGGTCTAAAATCATAAAACTGAAAAGATGTTTCTGAAATTCTTAATTTCTTCTAATTTCTTAATTTTAAAAAATGTTACAGAATTCAATTATACGTTTTTGTATTACTGCCACTGAATTGTTGGACAAAACTTTAGCTTTTGTTATGTTGTATTCTAAACATAATACGCAAATAATTACCTTCAAAGCAAAAAATTTTATGAACTTGTCCAAGTCCTTCCTGTCCTGGGAGCTGAGGTCAGTATCCATTGCATATGAAAGTCTGAAATAGGACAAAAAAAAAAATGATGTCACATTTCCAGTTTTATAAGTCTTCTTACTATTATTTAGCCAAACTAGTCTTAAACATCAACAAGTAGATTTTAAGTCAGCCACTACTGGTGAAATCAATTTGTTCAATTAGATAAACAGAAATTAAGAAGATTCAGTGAAGATTACATTCTGAACTATTGTAACTAACTGCACTTTCAGAATCACCTCAGTTGTAACAAAACTAGAAGAGCAAAATCAAGTAACTTTTTATTTAACCCCATAAACTTGATAGAGATATGTAGTGAATAAGATTAATCATTCGTGTGTTGACTTCTAGGTAATGTAGTGTGAGACAATGAGTAACTGCTGACATGTGATGTAAGTTTATTCAGAGTAGATCTGAAACTGAACTCAGCAGCAGCTGATGTCATGTGTGTGATCAATACAATAGAATACTGTTTTAATGAAGAGGAAGATTGGTATTGAGGGATTATAAAGGAGCTTAAACCCATATATTTTGGACAGATGATGTGATCAGATAGTACACTAGAAAAAACAACAACTATGCTTGTTAAAAGGTGAGAGAACCAGAAGACAAACAGATAAAATGGGTGGATAGATCAAACATATTATTGGAGAGTCCTTGGAAGTGCTGTGGACACAGATATACATAGCAAACCAAGATTACAGAAAGCAGAAATATACTCTCCACATATCTTTCAATGCATATTCTACAAAAAGAATAAAGTACTTTAGAATCTACTAACACACTACCCTAGCTCTTTGGAATAAATATGGCAAATATGCCAACACATCCCTACCAAGAATAATGAGCGTAGCCAAAGATCTAATATCAAAGGAAAACAATAGGGAATCAACTATATAATAAAATGCAAGGATTCTGAATTACATTATATAAAACAAACAACAGAAATCAGCAGAATGCATTCTCAAACATCAGCTAACTCCCAAAAGGCACAATGTAACTTCATTAATCTCCCTCTGCAAAGATAGCTCAAGAATAACTTCAGAAAGGAAACTAGAAACCTTAGAACAAGCCAGATTAAAAATATAAGAAAATAATAATAATAATAATAGTAAAGTTGGAAGGGACCTTGGAGGTCATCTAGTCCAACCCCCTGCTCGGGCAGGAAACCCTACACCATTTCGGACAAATGGCTGTCCAGTCTCTTCTTAAAAACTTCCAGTGTTGGAGCATTTACTGCTTCTGGAGGCAAGCTGTTCCACTGATTAATTGTTCTCACTGTCAGGAAGTTTCTCCTTAGTTCTAGGTTGCTTCTCTCCTTGATTAGTTTCCACCCGTTGCTTCTTGTCCTGCCTTCAGGTGCTTTGGAAAATAGCTTAATTCCCTCTTCTTTATGGCAGCCCCTGAGATATTGGAATACTGCTATCATGTCCCCCCTTGTCCTTCTCTTCGTTAAACTAGACATACCCAATTCTAGCAACCGTTCCTTATATGTTTTAGCCTCCAGTCCCCTAATCATCTTTGTTGCTCTTCTCTGTACTCTTTCTAGAGTCTCAACATCTTTTTTACATCGTGGTGACCAAAACTGGATGCAGTATTCCAAGTGTGGCCTTACCAAGGCATTGAAGAGTGGTATTAATACTTCGCGTGATCTTGATTCTATCCCTCTGTTAATGCAGCCTAGTACTGTGTTGGCCTTTTTGGCAGCTGCCGCACACTGCTGGCTCATATTTAAGTGATTGTCTACTAGGACTCCGAGGTCCTATTGGAAGCACTGAAACAAGCTGCAGATATTTTAACTTTATTATATCAAAAGGTCTCCACTTGAACCATTCCATCACTCCATCATAGTATCACAGACCACATAAGAAACAACCAACAAAGACATGAGACACCACCTTAACAACCAAATAATTTACACAGCACAAGGCATCAATAACTTACAAAACACCATCTGCTCACAGGGCCATCCCATCAAAAGCATGAACACAGCAGGAAAGGCAAGATATACAGTATAATCTCTACCAACCAATAAACCTAATTTCTCTAAAATTTCTGCACTGATAATGTTACCAAGGAGGTTATTAAACCACATTTGGAGAAGTCTAACAATCTAACAGAGATTCTGTGAAGAAGATGGCATGCTGCATGTGACCCTCTCATATATTTGCCTCCTAATATCTTATTCAAGTACAGTACTAGCATTTTGTATATCATAATTTATTACTTGCAGTCCACAAATATCCATAACTATGGACTGTGCTCAGAGACAAGTCAAGATGGTGAGCATTTGTCTATATAGCCACTAATGTTGAGCCAGACTTGATAGCACTAAATACCTAGGTTAGAGCATGCTAGGTAGAAAATAGTTTTTATGTTGCAAGGATAAAAAAGCTCCTTTCCCTCAAATTTGAAAACATGAAAAACAAGTTGTTCAAGTTAAATAACTATAATGAATGATAATACAGTCTTAGCATTGTATGCTTATTTAGTGTTCACAGATCAAGTAAAATCTATTATCATAATTAAGATCAAGGCAGGGCCAAATTTCCAAACAGAATCTTGTTCACATTTCACATTACAATCTCTCAATCTTTTTGTTCAAAAGATTGAAAATTAGTGGCATCAGAGATTAGCTAACTGGTTTTGAATTTTACATAAAGCAAGGATAGGCAACGCTTTTGACCTAGTCAGCAAATATGAAATTGTTGAAATGCATTCTCCTATAAAATGATCTCCACTGAGGAGGGCAGGGTATAATAGGCTCTGCCCTTCAATAAAGGTTGCTAGAATGGTTTTGGACAGCCACCCAGCACACCATCATAAAAAGGAAAGCTGTTGAGGTTACTCATCTCACAAAGCTTTTCATGATACAGTAGTTCCTGCAACTGCAGCTTTTATTTTTCCTATGATATTAAAATACCTCAAAAAATTCTTTATCATTCCTAAGAATGTCTGCAATGCCTTTATGAGGCCCAGATCTATTATTGGAAATAAAGATGCTACATGCTACCGGTAGTGACTGCAGCATACAAGTTTCTGTCAAGAAAAGGAAGGAATGTTTTAAAATCAGTCATAGCATAAAATGAGGTGGTAAATGAAAGGAGAAAGAATTAAAAGATAGATTATTATTTACTAGACTAATTACTTTACTAATATGGTGGATGGAAAGATCCCAGAAGCCCAAATTTAAGTACGAAGCATGTACATATAAGTTGAAGTCATCTCTCAAACAGCTCTCTTCTATTTAAGGCTCTAAATATGGCTTGAGAAACAAGAAGACAATACAATAGGTCCTTGACAAATGACAACAATTGAGCCCAAAATTTCTGTTGCTATGTGAAGCAATTAAGTGAATTTTGCTTCATTTTACAATCTTTCTTGCCAAAGTTATTAAGTGAATCACTGCAGTTGTTAAGTTAGTAACATGATTGTTAACTGAATCTGGCTTCCCCACTGACTTTGCTTGACAGAAGGTCACAAAACGTTATCACATGACCCCAGGACCCTGCAACCTCATAAATATGAGTCAGTTGCCAAATGGCTGAATTTTGATCATGTGACCAGGGGGTGCCACAATGGTTGTGTGAAAAATGATTGTAAGTCACTTTTTTCATTATAATAGCTCTGTGATTGAACTCATATATCACAGTAAGCCATGTTTTTCTTTATCAAAATTAGTTGAATTTACACATGTTAATCCATGATTTATTTAAAAGTGACAGTGGCTACATTCACTCAACAAGCACATTAGCTTAAATGATTGAATTAATGAAATGTGCAAATCTATCCCAAACACCAACTAGGAATATAACCCAGGAAGATACATATCATGGTTGACAGTCTGTTAGGAGAATTAAACTGCCCTGCCCATTTTCTGCTTTGACTCATCCATTGAGATGATCATCCACCAACCCTTCCCAAATCCAAAAGCTGGACTAGAGTGTGTAGACATCATATGCATAATTCTCTTTGTTTCTGCAATTCAATATTCCACACATCATCACCTGCCCCTTGTTTTACTGTAATTCATGAAGAGCAGTATATTTGTAAACATAATCTATGAAGATCTATGTACATTTCAGATGCAAGAGGTATAATCATTACCTGCACTAGAGAGGCTGACAATTCGTGGTTTCATCCCGGGATTAACCCAGAGGCTTATCCTAGCCTCTTTGCTTGGCCATATTCGTTTGGCGTCTCTTCCTCTCGACCTCTCGACTTGATACAGGATGGAAGACGCCTCCTTTCTTCTTGTTGAGGATCTTCTCAGTTTCAGGTAGCAGAGAAATCAGTATATTTAACAAGGGAACCTTCTCTGTCCAACTAAGGAAAAGCACTAAGGAACCTCCGTCTCCACTAGGCAAGCGACCGGCTGCGCTGCCTAATTTCCGCGAGGATACAGCCAGGAAAGGCGCAAGGGGAGAAGGAGTCTAAGTACTCAGCTTGGCTCTTGAGGGAAGGGGGGTGAAGAGCGCGGTGGAGCCTTATAACCCCGAGCTAAAAATCAGAATTTGGCCCAACAGCTTCTCTTTCCAGGCTCAGACAGAGGAGAAATGTCCCCAGCTCGACTACGAATAGACTCCGGTCCCAGAGGCGCTCTTTCCTGGAAGAGCTGTCTGAGGGACGCTTGTTGCCAAAGAAAGCAGTCGGCTCCTCGGTCCCCTAACCTGGTTTCTTCGCTGGAAACTGCGGGGGCCGCGACGATGCCTCACGACCGCGGCCTCTCCCGGGATCCCGCAACCTCCGTCACCCCCGCCGCCATTGCTGATGTTTGTTTTCATCGGCTTAGGGCAAACGAGGCAATCGGGGCAGCACTTTTCACACGGAGTCGAAATATTTTTCCTCTTCTCCCGCAGTCTGATTTCTGCCTCCCTCCAAGAGAATTGGGCCGCAACGCTCATAAGTTCACGAATAAAAAGGCCCGCTGCAATATATATATATATATATATATTAAAAAAATCATACGTGAAGAATCTGCGTTTGGGAAACGGCAGCTTGTGCGTCGTGCGAGAGCGGAAAGCTGCGCCTCGCTTTTCCCGGCGCTGGGGAGAAAAACCGGAATTCAGCGTTTTTGGCTCCTTTGGACTAATCCTAGGATGGGAAAAAGAGGTGAACGTGTGCAGGCTGTTTCTTCTCCCCCACGACATACGTTTATTATTTCTTAATCACATATCTAGCACATCCTTCACAGCCTAAGTTCCTAACATCGGCTTTTGGTCCCCCCCAAATGACTTCCAAGCAAACCCTTCTCTGGCTTAGTTCCTTGACCCTGGCAAGAGCATCTGGCTAGGGCGATCGATGAAATGCTTCATGCTTTAAAGCGTTCTCTTGTGCAACTTAGCTGATTGCTGTTTGGGCCGCTCATTTCAAAGTAAGTCTTAGTTTGTATCATAAATACATTGATATAGAATATAATGTACCCATAGTCAGCTGTAACTTGTTTTGAAATAGGCTAATTTCATGTTTCTCTGCCCTTCTCCAGCTACTTCTTTTGTCCTCAGGCCCCACTTTATCATGTACAGCTAATGCCCATTCTCTCTCTCATGCATCTTTAGCACCATCCATTTCCATTGCTTCCCATTCTCTTTAATTAAAATAGTTTTTGGTATCTTAATCTAAGACAAAGTTCCTCAAAATGATCAATATTGACCTTCAAGGGTTGATGGCATTATTTATTATTATTTATTTTCATATAATATTGGGGGTCAATGAACAGTCTGAAATTTCATGAAGGGGTCAATGTACTGAAGATTTGGGGACCCCTGGTCTAGGACCACACCAAGTAACCTGAAAGACATGCTATTTCAAAATGTGGTTGTGTGGTTTCTCGCTCAGTACATTGTTGTTGTTGTTGTTAATTGCGAAGTCGTGTCTGATCCATCGCGACCCCATGGACAACTTCCTCCAGGTCTTCCTGTCCTCTACCATCTTCTGGAGTCCATTTAAGTTCTCACCTACTGCTTCAGTGACTCCATCCAGCCATCTCATTCTCTGTCGTCCCCTTCTTCTATTGCCCTCAATCTTTCCCAGCATTAGGCCCTTCTCCAGTGAGTCCTTCCTTCTCATTAGGTGGCCAAAGTATTTGAGTTTCAACTTCAGGATGTGGCCTTCTAAAGAGCAGTCAGGGTTGATCTCTTCTAGGACTGACCGGTTTGAACGCCTTGCAGTCCAAGGGACTCGCAGGAGTCTTCTCCAGCACCATAGTTCAAGCTCAGTACATACAAACATGTTTTCTACCAAAATAAAACAGATGTTGCCAGCATCATTATTGAAGGTCCCTTTGTTCTCCAAACAGTTTGCAACTTGAGAAATATGTTTGGCTGCACAAATAATCCCCTCTAGATGTGCTGGTGTCTAACACAATAATGAATTCATTGAGGGCCGCATCAGCATTGCAGTTGCCCTTGGGGGGCCGGGTGGGTGTGGCCAGGGTGGGTGCGACCTACTGGGTGGCCATGGAGGGAGTGGGTGTGGCCTACTGGCTGGGCATGGCCAGCTCTACACTGTTCGCATCAATGGTGCCTGTGGGGGCCTGGGCAGGAGTGGGACAGATCTGAGGGTTTCTGGCAGAAGGGGGTGGGACCAGGGCAAGTGCCAAGGCATGGTCCACTGGAGGAGCCTCTCTGTTCCTCTCAGATCATGTGAAGGGGACTGGATGGTGGTGCAGGCTGCCTGGAATCCTGGGCAGCAGAGGTTAAATGCCCAGCCTAGCCCTCGAGCACCCGTGGCACCAAGTCCAGCCCCACTTCCCCAAGGGGGCGCCCAGCTGCACTTACCTCCTCCTCAAGGCTGCTGCTGCTGCTGTGCTTTCTCTCCTTAGCCAAGTTGTTCATGATGGGTACCAGGGCAAAGTCAGAGGGAGACTGAATGCATTTCAGCCTAGATGGCCACCACAAAATTGTACATTGGCTCCCGGCCGGCCGGCCTGGGCCAGGGCCAAGGCAGTGGGGGCCGTTCTCTCACTGTTTCCAGGATGGCTTCGCGGGCCACATGAAACCACTTTGCGGGCCTTGTGTTTGACATGTCTGCCCTATTGCGCAGTGCTTGGATCTTGAACCTGAACCTGGCCTGTGAGCTTTCCAGCTGACAAGCTCAGTGTTTTTAACCTGTGAGCCATTGTGCCCCTTATTTAAGGATATATTCAATAATAAATGTTTTCAAATGAAATCTGAAATCTGTTTTTAAATAAATAAATAAATAAATAAATGTTTAATACTTTATAAATTAATACTTTATATTAATTATACTTCAGTAGGAACTCTAGAGGCTAGGGAAAGCAAGATTCTAATGCCACGTTATGGCTGGGGGCAGGCTGCTGACGGTTCAAACAAGGGCATGGTTAAGTATATTCAAATACTGGCTAAAGATTAATCTCCAACCATAAGGCTTGACTTCTTTTGTTTTGTTTGACATATGTCATTCTACCTGGAAGCCACAAATTGGAGATAAAGTTCAAAAATTGGGCTAAGCACCAGAAGTAATACTTCTAAAGTTAAAGACATGTTTAGTTGGGGATATGAATGTGCATGTATTTTTGCTTCTAGAGATGATGACTTCTTAGATGAAAACACATATAATTGGCATCAAATGTTAAATTGTATAGATCTGGAAATTAATAAGTTAGGATAATTTATTTAACAGGGAAAATTGAGTAAATGATCATCACAAATTATATATAAATGGCACAAAAATGGAGCAAACAGATTAATGCTTAGGAAGCATTTTCCTAAACTTGTTTGACTGATTTGGAGAATATGCTACCAATTTCCTGTGGAATATATACACTTCAAGTTTTATATGTGACATTGGGTCGATATTAATTGTATATTCTTTCATGCTAACATATTCCCTGACCTGTAAAATTTTAGCTTTTTAAAAACAAATCATTAGTATTTTGCCAGAAAAATTGCCATAATTTATCATTAACTGAAGGTTAATAGCAAAATCTCATGGAGGCCTCATTTCAATTTTTTCCAATAAAATTTATTTGGTAGGAGTGTGGCACATAATACTGCAGGACATTTTATTACGTACTTATCTTTTGCTTGCATTCACAGAAAGTTATACAGTACTTTGGTTTTACAGCAATAATATCAATAAAAGGAGAGTTCCTATATATAAATGAATTTCCAGTCCTAGTAAAATATTGTTCTACTTAAGTCAATGTGATTTATGTTGAACTGAAGTAGGATGAAGAGAACAGCAAAGGAAATGTGCATGATTTTTATCAATATGTTGTATTTTCTTTTTGCTTTCTTTTCACCGGCATTCTTTTCTAATGAAGGTCAACGCAGAAAGGAAGATCAACTTACTATGGCTATTCCCATAGCAGTTATTGATTGTGATCTCTTACTATATGGACGTGGACATAGGACACTGGATCGCTTCAAGCTGGAGGATGTTACTGATGAATTTCTTGTATCTATGTACGGATTTCCACGTCAGTTCATTTATCATTTGGTGGATCTTCTAGGTGCCAATCTTTCTCGTCCTACTCAACGATCCAGGGCCATCAGTCCAGAGACACAGATTCTTGCTGCATTAGGATTTTATACTTCTGGCTCATTTCAGACTCGCATGGGAGATGCCATTGGCATTAGCCAAGCATCTATGAGTCGTTGTGTTGCCAATGTTACCGATGCCTTGGTGGAAAGAGCCTCTCAGTTTATTCATCTCCCAGAGGATGAAGTGTCAATACAACATATGAAAGACGATTTTTATGGGCTGGCAGGTATGCCAGGGGTACTAGGATTGGTTGATTGCAATCATGTAGCAATAAAAGCACCCAATGCTGAGGATTTATCGTATGTGAATCGAAAGGGCCTTCATTCTTTAAATTGTCTGATGGTGTGTAATGCCAGGGGAAGGCTGCTAAGTGCGGAAACACACTGGCCAGGAAGCCTGCAGGACTGCACAGTGCTTCAGCAGTCAGCTCTAAGAAATCAATTTGAAGCTGGTATGCAGAAAGATGGCTGGCTACTTGGTAAGTTCATGCTGATTGCTAGTTCTTTAAATCTATTTTCAATAAAGTTCTGATTGATTTATTGACATGTAAAGTAACCCAAACACAGTTGCATCATAACATGCCTACTTTTATAAATATAAATATATGGAGCTTAAGATGTATATTTTGTTCCCTTTGCTAGGATTTCAGATTCAAATGTCGGTTGCTGAAAATAAAATTAGAATCGTTTGCTATTTACTAGGAATCTCATTTCTTTCTTGATTTTATAGGTGATAGTTCTTTCTTTCTTCGCACCTGGCTAATGACTCCTCTGCATATTCCTGAAACACCTGCAGAGTACAGATATAATATGGCACATTCAGCAACTCATAATATTATTGAACGAACATTCAGGACTCTCCAGGCTCGGTTCCGTTGTTTGGATGGATCAAAAGGGACATTACAGTATTCTCCAGAAAAAGCAGGTAATATCATCCTTGCTTGCTGCGTCCTTCATAATATCTCTCTGGAGCATGGGATGGATATATGGTCTTCCTCTTATTCGGAACAAGTGGAACATCCAGAGGAAGAATATGAACACATGGAATCTCTTGACTCTGAAGCTGACAGAGTTCGCCAGGAATTATTGCTAACACATTTTAGCTAACCGAATTTGAGAATATCAAGTTGGTTTTAAGAAAAAAGATAGAAGGAAGCATACTTTGACCTTTATTTTTATAGAATTTGCCAAGAGGAGTATATTATTTATCAGTACTTTGCAAAAATATTATGTTGAATGTGTGCATCTCTAAGTATTTTGATTCTATTGTGTACATGTTGTATTTTAGTCTATGAAATATATGGTTGTCTTTATTGTCCTTTACTAAAAAAATCATTAAAGATATACGGTAAGATGAAATCTAACAGGTTTATTTTCCTGATAAAATGCTTTATTTTGAAGTTTTGCAAAATATTAAGAATATCTTGTTTTCTTTGTAATTAAATTCAAAACTATTAAGTTCATATGACTAATTGCAATTTATTGTTCACCACCCCAATTATATAATTTATTTTGCTGCATAATTTACTATGCATTTTAATTATCAACTATATTTGTGTAAAAACATTTGTGTTGAAAAGATAGAATTCTCAAAGGATATGTCACTTGAAAATCAGTATTCTTTTATACTAGCATCTTGGAATCACCTTCAAGAATGTAGGTCACAAGGATTATGTCAAGAAACATTTCATAGCTTGCTTCTCCCTCCATGTGACACCTATGAGCAAATCTGAATGCACCTTAAACTATTGTGATAATTGCCAAAAATCTGTGTGAATTTATAATGTTCCAAGAAAGACATATTCAGATCTAGTCAGCATCAAAAGAAATATAATTTCTCAAACACATAGAGAAATCTCACTTTATTTTGCATTGGCCAGATCTCAGTTTGACTATGTCCAGTTCTGGCAATGTACTTTAAGAAAAAAATGGAGAAGTTGGAAACGTTCAGAGAAGCAAGAATGCTCAGAGGACTGGAAATTAAATCCAGTCTCTTGAATTTATTTAAATGCAATTTTAAGAGTGGAAAATGTTACCCAGAGACATGATTCAATCCTTAGACAGACATCTATCACAGGTGCTTTAATTTAGACTCCTGACTTGCTTACTGGACTAAATAGTTCCTTTTAGTTTACTGAATCTGCAAAAAAGTCACAATACGTCACGACACATCATGTGACGTTGTGAGTTTGACACCCCTGTTTTAGAATATCACAACCTGACATTTGGATGGCACAGATACTTATAGTAGGATAAAGTTGAAACTAATGTGGATTTTAAAAATCATTTTAGGGTCATTAGTGCTCTCTGAGCTTGGTGGTTTTCTTGCAGACCTTTCATTACCAAACTAGATAATATTATTAATCCTACCACAGTTCAATCCTGGACTACATTCTCTTCTATTGAAAAACCATTTTATTAGATGTGCCATATTGAGAATATGGAATAGATATTAAGTTTTGTCTGAAAGCATTTATGAGGATCTCATTACAATAAGCACTCCATAGAAGAAAAACAACAGGCAGAGACAAATGATTAACATAAAAGGGATTATTGGAAAAATTACCAAGGGGAATATAAGATTAAATCAAGAGAGCAACTGACATTCCAGAAAATAAAAGCAAAATAAAATGCCTAAAAGATTTGAGATGCAAAGCATATAATCATTTTGTCTGTAAAGTTTCAGTGTTTTAGAGAAATAGAATATGCTGAATGTTAAATAATTGTAGGGTCTTTGGTAGTCTCTGAGTTTGGTGGTTTTCTTGCAGACGTTTCAATACCAAACTGGATGACATTACCCATGCTACAAATATTCTATAAGAAATAATTTTTATCAGTTAAAATACATTATATTTTGATTTATGAATTAGCTAAATCCCAACACAGAACTCCCCTTTATGGATTACTGCCTTGTTGTGGCGAAGGGGCTTGCGTAACTCAATGAAGCTATAAGCTATGCCGTGCAGGGCCTCCCAAGACGGACAGGTCATAGCAGAGAGTTCTGACAAAATGTGATCCATTGGAGAAGGAAATGGCAAACCACTCCAGTATCTTTGCCATGAAAACCCCATAGACAGTACAAAAGATCACCTCAGATGGGGACTGCAGCCAAGAAATTAAAAGATGCTTGCTCCTGGGGAGGAAAGCTATAGCAAATCTAGACAGCATACTAAAAAGCAGAGACATCACCCTGCCAACAAAAGTGCGTATAGTCCAGGCCATGGTTTTCCCAGTTGCAATGTATGGCTGTGAAAGTTGGACCATAAGGCTGAGCGCCAAAGAATTGAGGCCTTTGAACTATGGTGCTTGGACTGCAAGGCGTTCAAACCGGTCAGTCCTAGAAGAGATCAACCCTGACTGCTCTTTAGAAGGTCAGATCCTGAAGTTGAAACTCAAATACTTTGGCCACCTAATGAGAAGGAAGGACTCACTGGAGAAGGGCCTAATGCTGGGAAAGATTGAGGGCAATAGAAGAAGGGGATGACAGAGAATGAGATGGCTGGATGGAGTCACTGAAGCAGTAGGTGTGAACTTAAATGGACTCCAGAAGATGGTAGAGGACAGGAAGACCTGGAGGAACGTTGTCCATGAGGTTGCGATAGGTCGGACACGACTTCGCAATTAACAACAACAACAACAACAACACAGAACTCTTTTAAAGGCAGGTGGACAGCCTCATATCATAATATATTTTTAAATTACATGAGTGAGTTTTCTTTTTAATCAGAAATTATGGATATGTATTTTGAAAGATGGAGAGAAGAGAGGAGAGGACAGGAGAGATGAAAAGGAAAGGAAAGACGAAGGGGGGAAGGATAGGTCATTGGTATCCTCAGGCGTTTCCCCGGATGTGTGGCGAAGATCAGATGACATCAGAACTGAAAGATCTACATCTTGCAAATCCGGCTTTCTCCTTCCTTTTCCTCTCCAGAAGCCTCCCTCCCGGATCTCGCTCTCTGAATTCCGCTCGTCAGCTCTGCTCTAGTTTGCGACTCCTTCGTTCGATTGACTCGGTGCTCGTTCCGCGACGGCTCCAGACTCGACTGCGAGGTGCTCGGCTAGGCGCACTGGCCTTGATAGTAACCCGGAGAGGCAACGACAAGAGAAGCTGCATTGGAAGGAGAAGGCGGGGGAGATCGTCGCCGGATTTGGGTCGTTTCCTCCCCGATTAGATCCCGGCCAGTTCGGTAGCCGACCCCCCCCCCCGCCCCAATCGTCCGGCCGGTTTTGGGGCGTTCGAGTGCGCCGCCGGGCCTTGGTCCCTCCCTGCCCCAGGTAGGCTCCGGGCCTAGAGATTCTGGGCCTGCTTCCCCTCCTGGAGTTGCGGCGGAGAGAGGCCACAAGTGGCGATTTCGAGGGGATGGCGAGGAAGAGTGGAGAGGGCCGGTGGGCGCTGAAGGTCGAGTCGCCTGGGCTACGAGGCGGTAGGCCTAGCCTGGCGTCTGAAGTTCTCCAGCCCGCCCACCTCGAGCACCCACCCGTCCTTCAGTGGGGGAGCCTACCCGCTTAGCCGCATCCCCCGTTCTTTGGCTCGGGCAGACTTTCGGGAGTCTCGGTGCCACTAACAGGTCTGGCTAAGAGTTGGGATCCCTTGAGGGGACTCCCAGGCCTAACCGCGGATATTTTCATGGCGGTCAACCTCCCTCCCAGCAAGAGGCCTTTGCTTAAGAGGCGGCAGGGCTGGCTGGCTTGTTATTTGTGGCATCTTCTGGCATATTTCATTCCCCTCCCCCTCCCCTGGGTTTTTGGTTTGTTTTAGTACACGTAAATACGGGTACGTAATCTTTCCTGCTTCCTTCTGTTCTTTTCCTTTTCCTGCTTCTCTGTTCCTCTTTGAAGGCAGAGATGGGGTTGTTTTGCTCCCGTCCCAAAGAGGAGCGTTTTCGATCTTCTGCCTTGCTAGAAAAATTCTCATAAGCAGAGTCCTGTTCTCTTTTACCAAGAGGTTTTTTCTTTTTAGTGGAGAGCGACTAAGTAACCCTGTGTATGTTTATTGAAGAGAAAACACAGTGAGACATGTATATGTAATTAGAATTGCAAGGTAGACCCAACTGTTTGCCCTTTAAGAAGGGTGCTGCTTACTGTGAGACAACGAATGCAGTCTTACCCATGCTAATCTCCCCAACATCATACGGTAAGCTACAATTATATGTGTGCAGGTTTTTTTATAGAAAAGGAAACAACATCCTTTTCTTTAAAATCTGTATTCCTGCCACATGTATACAAAGAAAACTTCTTTAAAAAATTGGGTCTTCTTTGAACAGTTCTAAAATAAATTCCTTTTTTTTTCAAACCCTCATTTTATGATGTAATATGTGTCAGATGCAAGGATCCCAGTTGCAAAAAACAAAACAAAACCCAGAAACACTCAGTGTATTGCCAGTAGAAAACTGTTACTTTTCTGTCAACATTTGTGCTTTTAATAACACCAGTAAATCTAATAAAACATACTGAAAGCATAGGAGTATGCTAATTACTAATCCGTAAGCAAGAAAGCTTTAATTCTTCTGCTTCAAGGTAATTCTCCCATTATTTATAAAATCCGTCAAAAATAAATGTTGTGTACTTTGAAAGATTGTATAAATAAACCCTGGGTTCAGTCTATCTTGCCTTCTCCTGGATGTTATCTAATGTAATAATAGCTTGGGAAACTGGGGTAGTAATAAAAAGTACGGGTTTTAATATTTTAGATAGACTAATAAAGTACTTGCAAGTATATTTTTGAATAACTCATTTCAGGTATCTTCCTCTCAACTTTGAATATGCAAATGAAGCATCTTAGGAACCATGTGTTCTATTCACGAAGTGAAGAATAGACATTTTTCATAGAACTCTATCCAGTCTGATATTTGGTGCCAATATTACAATATAATTTTAAATATTTTAATGTTTTCCAAAGCTGATTTTAAGGGGTGGTGCAGTGGCTCAGTGGTTTAAGATGCTGGGCTTGTTGGCTGGAAAACCGACAGCCCAGGTTCGAGACGTGAGCGCTGTGAGATGGAGTGAGCTCCTGTTCTCTCCCCAAGTCCTGGCAATCTAGCAGTTCAAAAGCAAGCAAATGCGAATAGATAAATAGATGCCACTTTGATAGGAAGGTAATAGTGTTCCATGACATCATGCTGGCTGCATGACTGCAGATTCGTCTTCGAACAGCACTGGCTCAATGGCCTTGAAACAGAGACGAGCACCACTGCCTATATAGTCTGCAATGACTAGCAGAGTAAAATTTTCAGGGAATCCTTTACCTTTTTTTTAAAAAAAAAGTTTGGTTTGGTGTATTTTATGTCTCTGTTAGCCCACTTTATACTGTTATTTTTAAATCATCCTGAACAACTCCATACCCTCTTAAAATTTTGAAAAGAAACCCAAATCAGATTTTATAGAACAGAATTCCCACAGAGACACAAAATACACCCAATCAAACTTGCAAAATATTAACAGCTCTTCCAGTGGCATGGCAGGG